ACACATCTGATATAACTACAGTCACAGCTATGATATAGATATACATGTAAGTTACACACATCTGATATAACTACAGTCACAGCTATGATATAGATATACATGTAAGTTACACACATCTGATATAACTACAGTTACAGCTATGATATAGATATACATGTAAGTTACACACACACACATTACAGCTATGATATAGATATAACATGTAAGTTACACACAGTACAGTTACAGCTATGATATAGATATACATGTAAGTTACACACATCTGATATAACTACAGTTACAGCTATGATATAGATATACATGTAAGTTACACACACATCTGATATAACTACAGTTACAGCTATGATATAGATATAATTGTAAGTTACACACATCTGATATAACTACAGTCACAGCTATGATATAGATATAGATATGAGTTACACACATCTGATATAACTACAGTTACAACTATGATATAGATATACATGTAAGTTACACACATCTGATATAACTACAGTCACAGCTATGATATAGATATACATGTAAGTTACACACATCTGATATAACTAGTCACAGCTATGATATAGATATACATGTAAGTTACACACTCATCTGATATAACTACAGTCACAGCTATGATATAGATATACATGTAAGTTACACACATCTGATATAACTACAGTTACAGCTATGATATAGATATACATGTAAGTTACACACATCTAATATAACTACAGTCACAGCTATCATATTGATATACATATAAATTACACACATCTGATATAACTACAGTCACAGCTATGATATAGATATACATGTAAGTTACACACATCTGATATAACTACAGTTACAGCTATGATATAGATATACATGTAAGTTACACACATCTAATATAACTACAGTTACAGCTATGATATAGATATACATGTAAGTTACACACATCTGATATAACTAGTCACAGCTATGATATAGATATACATGTAAGTTACACACATCTAATATAACTACAGTTACAGCTATGATATAGATATGCATGTAAGTTAAACACATCTAATATATCTACAGTAATATTTTGGACATAATTTGCACACATTTGATAACCAATGTAAATTTTCTTACGCGGATAAAATAAGTATTAAACCACATAACTTTGAATTGTGCTGGAAACACAGTTAAACACATAGCACTTCCTCATTAACAATTGTTTTCTATTGATCCAATCCTGAATATCAGACAATTTAGGCCTACTATTTCCATATATCCCATTTAAGTACTACATGTGACTCTTGCAAAAGGTGATGTATAGGTTGTACGAAATACACACAAGTAAACAGCACCTTTAAAACGAATTTAGAATTAGAAAAAGTTGCAACAAATGATGAAATTGAACTGCACCGTATAACTTCCATCCTTCTAAATATTGAAACCTAGGAGGCGACTGAGGAAACTTCATCGAAACAAATATCAACATCTACATTGGACGTTACATACCATAATTTTATAAATTGAAAAAAAAGGTCAAAAGACGACAAATAAACCTGTAATTCTTTATCTGTATCCGACACAAATGGCATACAAAAAGATTTTTTAATGTATATGATTTTAACTGTAGTTTCAACAGATAGCCTATGGTTTAAATATTTAATACTATATCAAAAATACGTCTATTTAAAAAGGAAATAAAAGGCGATTTTCATTCTTTGTCTTGGGGTTAGCTACATGTGTATAATAAACGCTAAACGAACCATTTTCCAGTGCTGAATTCTATATTTCTAGAAACATGTTTATATTTATGTCAAAAATGCATGTAACATGTAAACGCACGACAAAAAGATTAGAGAAATACGCTTTGATGAAGATTATGAAGAAGTTTAATGGTGAGCCTGGTAGTTCTCTCATGGATATGTAACCTTATTCTCAGTTGGGAACATGACATTTCGTGCAATAACAAAGATCTACAGGGAAACAAAACGAATTGTGCCCGATACGAACAATCAGGAAAACATATAGTGTAAGCCATTGGATCCTGTACATAGCACTTCCCATTGTTATATACCCGCCACATATGTGTTTTTAATGTATTTGACAATGACGGAAATCAAAACAGCTGTATATATTTCAATACATACATTATTTTGTAAGAATCACTTTCTAATTTACTTAAAGCTTGTACAAAAGACGGAAATCAAAACAGCTGTATATATTTCAGGACATGCATAATCTTGTAAGAATCATTTTCTAATTTACTTAAAGCTTGTACAAAAGACGGAAATCAAAACAGCTGTATATATTTCAGGACATGCATTATTTTGTAAGAATCACTTTCTATTTTACTTAAAGATTGTACAAAAGATCTATAAGTGAAAAGCAACTTTAATGCAAATTTGGATAAGACACGGTAGAGACAAACAATTAAACTGCATCATACAGCTGTGTCTTCTTTCTGGACTCGTCAGTGATGCCAAAAGCCTTGATGATAAACCGAGAAGGCGATTTAGGAAACCCATAACGGTCGATAGAAAAGTTAAAATCTTTACATGGGAAGGTACCCCTGCCCAATCATTTTGTAAATCTAGTAATTTCCATAAAGGTTTATCTGGTGATTTTAAAAGAACGTCAAGTATTACATTTACAATATAAATAACTGTATAAACAGATGTTTTTGAAAATTCAGACAAATGTTGTGGTTAAATATCCGATAAGTTTGGAAGTTTCCGCGAATTACTTTGACGCCAATCAACAGGCAAACATCAGCGAAACGTCAGCGTCAAATTAACGAAGATTGAACAAAAACTGTTGGAGTTTTAATGATCAGAAGTTTAAACAAATGTAGCATGGGACATGCATATAGAACACGTGACCAGGGTCTTTAGATATAAGCTGTATTTTGGCTCGGGATATTTTAAGAAACTAGATATTCTCTCTCTTGGTGTGACTGTGTTTTCATAAAGAATATTAACATTAATAACATTCACACTATTACTCATAAGATTTATTTATACGCAATCCTAACGCATGGATTGTTTCCTCAAAAGCAAAGAATTTCCTGAAATATTCTTTACAGTAGATTGTAATCTGTTTGTTAGATAATAATACGGCTCGAGCTATGCATGACTTGACACAAAGTGTAGGCGTTAAACATTATCACCGAGGCAGCTAAATGATTGCCTACCCTTACTCATGCAGTTGTATACAACAGAGCCCGCGCGACGAATGCAGTGACACTGAAACAAATGTATTCATAACCAGCCAGCGCTGATCATGACAGCAGCAGTCTAGGTACATGTATGCTGTGCTATGCAATATCTACACATGCAAGGCCATTACAGATGTAAGTATCATTGAAATTTTACCGCTCTTATCTGTGATAATGATATTTTGAAAAACGACAATTATTTTTGTTTATCTTAGAAAACAAATAAACCGTTGTTCGATGGTTGCATGTCCGATAATTGATTTGGTGTAATGCTGACGACTGTATCATTGAATGTACATGAACAGATACCAGACTATATGTACGTATCGATTAACACAGCCGTTTATAGTGGTGTGACTATACAGTGTAACACAACGAGATACAAATGTAATTCAATGATCCGTCGGGGTATAGTAAGGAACAGTCAGGGATCTCTCGGTTAATAATAAGGTTTAATATTTATCGAAAACTTGTGTTTTAGAGTGATATTTTAAGCGGTAGCCAAGGGTGTACTAGACTGTTTAGTGGTTATATCAACACGCTTATGGAAGTGGTTCTTTGTGCTGTATTGGTACACATGACAAATACATTACTACAATACTGGTCAGTTAAGTTAATACGCGGCGGAACAATTGAGGCTTAAGAATATCGTACAGTATAAGTAAAACCACCTCATTCATATGGTTGTACAGCTCGTGACGAGACCGACCCAAATCAATACAGGTAAATATTTCAAAGTCTAGTCAATATAATTATCAATGTTTCGACTGTTTAATGAACTAAACATTATTATAATTCAGACACCAACCGATATAATTTTTACAGATGAATATACAAGGTGTTAAACATATATGTTCATTTGTGACTTATGTTTTTGATTTCACATTAAAGTACTTACAATCTTTCACATTTCATTCTCAGAAAAATCCTTTAACCATTAGGAAAGAAAAATTGATAGCAATTAAGATAGCATTTATAGTAAATAAGATATATTTTACTGCACTATACCCCTTTTGTACAATATTGGATAGCATCCGTAAATTTAAATGTGTAATGATGTAATTACGAAAGTGTTTGTAACAAAGGGAACATTACTATAATACAGGTTAGGTGGTAGGTAGCAGTACCATCAAGTATCGTGTCTGCATTTGTACATGTGTATTTTGTACTTAATATATGTTACTTGTATGTAAGCAAATATCATGTCCAAGTGTAGTGTATGTTCTTTAGTAATGTTATTTGTACAACTTAGCTCTTTTGCCCCAATTGGTCGATTGATTATAAAAAAACGTACTGATGTTCAGAAATGGAAATTCAATCAATTATTGGTAAACAGATGAAGTTATATCAACACTGCGATCATTCAATGATTTGCTCCATCTCCAATTATTTTTCCATTGTCAATATTAGCAGAACCTTGAGAAAAGATGAACATACTCGGACGTTTGCCTGTTTGTGACGTTGTTCTTGTTTACCCTTTTCTCATTGGTATGATAATACTTACTTGGATTGACCAAGATTTATATTGTACATGTCGTGTGTCGTCAATGCAATAGCAGCTTATTTTCCCCGGAACATCTGGTATTACTGTCCTGGTATCTTTGCACGAGTTTCCGTGTAACTCTCTGTCATTTGTTCATAGCATGGCCTTGTTTCATTGAATTTGAGTTTGAATTAGAATTCTGTTGACATGAAATTTCTTTGTTTTTCTTTTCATGTTTTCTATATGATACATTTACCACACACTGATACATGTTATTTATCAGTTTATCAACAAAACCTTAATACACGAATTCCCATATATTACACTGACATAAAAGCAATGTTACATGTTTTACAGAAATCTGGAGGAAATGGTTGCATCCTTAAGAGAGCTATTATGGGATCATATATGTCTTTCCATACAAACAGAGACAGTCCCTGTTCCTTAGATCGCCCGGTGTTGATGCCCACAGTTGGAATTCGCAAACCAAAGACACTTATTATCTATCATGACAAAGATTTGGATTTTATCAGAAAGCAGTTGATGCCAACGTTAACAGAAGACGGGATAGACTGCTACACGCTCGAGGATAATATTGAAGAACAGAATATTTTTCGAAAGTTTGGATATCTTTCAGACAGTACAGATAAAACATTATTCGTTCTGTCACTTCAATTAAAAAAAGATCCTATTCTTTCGTACTTGCCATCAATATCAATAGCACGGAAACGCAATGTTATTTGTTTGCGTTTAGATAGAACTGTTTTCCTAGAAGATGATCTAGCATGTCTTATTGGCACAAAGATAGTGGAATCCGAATCTACAGGATGGCGAGCACAGTTGATTAGACATATACGTTATCAAAGACCACACTTCAGCCATTTCATTGGGGCTAGAGAGGTGACACAAAGTCTGCATCAGCATGGCCTTGATCTTCCGTTAATGCTATTCAGTGTGTACGGAGTTACCGTGGAGATCAGTAACGAAATTCTCCGGATTGACATGGACGAATTCCTAGAACACAGCCAGAAACACAGTGAGTTAGGTATAACTGAAGTCTGCGGTGAATGCTCTATGTTGTGTACACCTGATACGAAGGTCAGTCTTGTATACGACAAAGACACGATAAAAACGAACAAGGACTTTTCCAAATTTGATAGTGCCTTTGCTTCTCTTTGTGGTAATATTATGGATGTTTCTACCCTTCGGAAGGCGGGAGTTGTGTTCATACTTGGATGTACATTAAACGGGCGTCTAGTTGGGGAGGATTATATCAGACAACTGTGGGTTAAAACTAGATACCAGATAACAACTGAAAAATCACCAAGCCATGAAATAAAATTCCCCAAGTATGCTGACGAAAAAGCACGATTCGATTCATTCCCAGTGTTTAGTCCGAACGATCGGGTTCCGAAGACTGAGTTACTCGCGAAAGCTGGATACTTTTTCAGTGGTCCACCACTTTTTACCACTTGTTTCGCGTGCGGACGATTTGTGATCAGCTGGCGAGAGGATGACAATCCATGGGTAACGCATTCTGCACTCAATCAAGCATGTCCATTTGTCCGGCAAAATCAAACATATGATTTCATTAAGAATGCAAAAGAATCATTTCGTGCAAATAACAATCGGGTTAATGAAACGTACAGGTCTCTTGAAGCTAGAGTGAAATCTTTTGAATCGTTTTCCCTTGACAAAATGCCACAGGACAATGCAAATTTATTCAGTAGGGAAAAACTGATAGTAGATATAGCTGGAGCTGGATTCAATTATACAGGCTGTGGAGATGCCTTTACCTGCTACTCGTGTGGCTTAGTACTGACTTCTATAAGACGTGGTGAAAATGTGATGGCGACACACGCAAGGCTGTCATCATCGTGTGCATATGTTATATCGGCCAAAGGAACAGACTATGTAGATGGCATTTTGCAGACTGCCGCCCACGCCTCACCGAGAACAGTAGTGTCGTTTATGATTAAAAAGTTGGACAATCGTTCAATTTCTCATCAAGACATTTTCTTGTTTCCACCTTCCCAATCCAAACCGTAGTTGTATTGTAATAAAGTATCTCAATATCACCTATGAGATAGCGATTCTTTCTGCAATCTGTTGCGTCATGTTGTTGGACTCAACTGTATCTAATCTTAAGTACTAGACAAGGTCAGTGTGTGTCATGTGTACAATCATATTAGAAAATGGAACCTGTTGAACGCTAAACAAAAGAGACTGTATCAAAATTACTATAAAGAATTTTTTTTTTCTTTATATGAATATCAAGTTTCTTTTAAAGACACTACAGTTTATTTTTTTAAAATATTTATCTTTGTCAACCTGCTCAGTACTAGCTAGGTTATGAAAACATTTCTTCTGTTCCAAACTACGAAGACCATAAAGAAACATGAAAGGCGGCAAAAATATATATGGTTATAAAATACATCTAAGCGTATCTCACGTATATATTCAATGAAACGCCACTACTTTTCTGACTGACACTTGTACAGCCAAAGCTAAATTTACTGACGAGCTCATCAGTACAGATACATATCTTGCCAAGTTCTCCAGTCTTTCATAAAATATATAAATATATACACATACATCAATATATATCGTATATATACACCAAAAGTGAAGAACAATGACACAGCAATATCTTCTACATCAGCCGTTACCTAAACATTTACCTACAACGCAAGAAGCACAAACAGTATTCGACTAAGATGAGTGATACGCGTGTTGATTTATATTCCTTTGTTTTGACAGGACCATACACCTTTAATACGATGATTTACATACCTCTAATTTGACAGGACTATACACCTTTAATACAATGATTTATATTCCTCTAGACTGACAGGACCATACATCTTTAATACAATGATTTATAATTCTCTAGTTTGACAGGATCATACACCTTAAATACAATTATCAATATTCCTCTAGTTTGATATGACCATACACCTTTAATACAATAATTTATATTCCTCTAGACTGACAGGACCATACATCTTTAATACAATGATTCATAATCCTCTAGTTTGACAGGATCATACACCTTTAATACAATGATTAATATTTCTCTTGTTTGAAATGACCATACATCTTTAATACAATAATTTATATTCCTCTAGACTGACAGGACAATACATCTTTAATACGATGATTGATATTCCTTTAGTTTGACAGGATCATACACCTTTAATACGATGATTTATATCCATCTGGTCTGACAGGACCATACACCTTTAATACAATAATTATATTCCTCTAGACTGACAGGACCATACATCTTTAATACGACGATTTATATTCCTCTAGTTTGACATGACCATACACCTTTAATACGATGATGAATATTCCTCTAGTTTGACAGGACCTTACACTTTTAATACGATGATTTATGATTAAATCTTTAGCTATTTCTACATCTTGTCGAGATAATAGTTACCACCCACTCTCCAACACACACCAATCAAATGTTAAATTATATGCTACAATACACTGCATGTAAACTTATGTCCAAATTTGAAGTTCAAGTAGTAAACAGTAGTGTGAGAAATTGTTAACAAATCTTTTCGCTTACACGTACACATTAAAGTCAAAAATCAAAAACTAAATGAGTGACCTCTTTTTTAATACATGACAAATCAAAACAAACTGAAAGCATAGGTAGACAAGTAGTAAAGGAAAGAGATCCGGGTCAAACTTTTCCTTTGATATAGGTCAAACATCTGATATGTTTGAGCGACCTACTTTTGATCCATGTCCTACCATCTTATCAAAGGTGAACCCATACCCCAACTGTTAAGTTTCAGCGACAATTAGTATAGGATCTCGAGCAAACTGTTTCATTGATGCAAGTCTAAGGTCAAGATGTTGGTCAAACTGACCTTTGATGTATGAGACCTCACCAGAACAAGGTGAACTTATACCCCAATTATGAAGTTCCATCGACAAGTAGTGTAGGAGATAAGGTCATTGCAAGATACCGGAAGGACGAACGCAAGGCTGGAGAGACAAATGGATGCAGAGAGGCGGAAGTATAGTATAGTATAGTACAGTATACAGTACAGCAAATTCAAAAGCAATAATAATACTGGTGATAAACCGTGCTTTTCAGAACAGTGTAAATGGAAATACATTAATTTCAAAACAGCTTTGTATGAATATAATAAAAATGTGTCTGTTGAAAATCACATTATTCTAATAAGCAAAATATCTTCGTACAAAAAGCTAGAATCTAGATTAAAAAGACAATACAAGCATCAGGAAGGTGATATGAATCCTTAAGAGAGTCTTATCCAAAAGTGTTTTATAGATATTTTTCAAATGGGCGATGTAACTTACCACAATCAAATATAGATATGGAGGATTTTGCACAACATTTCAAGAACTTGGGAGGGAGTTCAGGTATGGAAACTGAAAGTGTAATCCATTGTGTTCGAAGAATTAGATTAACCTTTTACAGATGATGAAGTACAAATTGCTATCCATAAAATAAAACCAGATAAAACTTGAAAGCTATGGTTTTAATTTTAATGAACATGTCCTAAACTTTAAGGAAATTCTACTTTCTTGTTTGACTATTACCTACTTCCTTGTATAACTATTACCTACTTCCTTGTATGACTATTACCAACAAAGATTGTTAGATAATGATGATTGGATAGTAAATATGAAATTAGAATTAGACAAATTAGGGTAAGGGTACCTATGAAATAGTAACTATGATGAACAAAATAATGTTCAAGGTGATTGAGAAGAAATTTCATGAAATCCACATTCAGCAACTATTAGACTATATTCAAAACTCTACTTATGGTTTTATTTATCAACATCTGATAAATAATTCTGGGTTCATATTTATTACTTATGAAAATCTATAGACCATCAGTATAAGAAAAACTTCACATGAATAACATTGTCGTTATGTAAACTTAATACAGAAAGTGGAAGATATATCAATATTGCCAGAATAGAAATTGTAACTTATTTGATAATCATGACATTGAAGATGAATTTCATTTTATTTTGAAGTGTCCATTTCATTCAGATTTGTGTTTGATATATTTGAAATTGTACTATTTGCGTAAACCTAGTGTATTTTTCTGGTTACTTAGTGTCAATAATGTCACATTATTAGGTAATTTTGGGGAATTCTTACATGTTACATTTAAACGACGTTCAGAAGCACTGTGAAAATATCTCTCTTAATATTATTAGTTAATGTTAACAATATTGTTGTTCTCTCACTTGCCTGTACAATACATATGTGATTTATGGATGTAGTACATGGTTAAGTGGATTCTAAGTGCGAGCGATTTCTACAGTATTTGCAACGAATACGAATGAGTGAACGTGTGTGGTTGGTGAAGTGTGCTAAGGTATTGGTGTGTGTGTCTCTGAGTGTAAGAGTGTGCATAGGCTAGGGTGTATGAATGGATGCATGAAAGAACAAATAAATATCACTCGAACATTATAATATTCCATGTACATTGTTGAAGACGAAAGGCCTCCAGAATAAAGAAATTGGACTGAATTGAAAGGCGAACAGAATATGAATTGTGGCAAGATTGATTGCCAGTTTTACCTGTCCAGTCAAAAGTGCATGAGGTGAGGGTTTTTTTCAGATAAAAATTATATGTTGCACCAAGTGAGATATTTCATTTTATTTACAATCCAACTTTGAGGGTCCAAGTGTATGAATTATACAAAATCTTTCATTGAGGAAACTGAAAGACACATACATGTATTATAATATCATGTATTTATGCTAAGTTAGCATCAATATCTAGATTAATCACTTTTATATTCTGTACAAAAAAAAATGATGGCCCACTAGTTTTGAAAATCTCTGTTTGAAAATCCCATATGACTGAATATCATCTTGTGTATATGTTATCCTCAGTATTGTGTAATTTCTGAAAACTATTTGAAAGATATCCATTTTGCAATCTGATGCTGCATACCATGACTGTTTTCAATGTCATCTGCCTACACGCTATGCTGGCTGCTATAGTGGTTGAACTTGTGACGTTGGTTGGTTGGTTGTTTAGTAGTCAGGTTTTCTGTCTTCTCAACTCCTACTGTGTCCAGGTAACGTCTCACCGACGAACCTCATTGTTAACCAGCGACGTGATGAGGCGTCCTGCATCCCCCTCACAGGGATGAAACCGTCTGAAGCGGTGAACTTTTGAATTTTAGAAGATGGCCTAGGGAACATCAGTTATGCCTTATCATAACTCTTGCAGTTTGAAACATGTCCAGAAGCTGAAACGAAGAACTGGGAGCCTGCATAGATTTGGTTAGGTTAGGGTAATTTTGATTCCGCCAAATGCCATAAAAATAATTGTTTTGCCTATCACTATCCCTTAACTCCTGTACCGGCGTTAGCGCATCTACTCTTTTTATTGAAAAGCCAGAGATCTTTAGTGTGTGAGAGAGTGGACAGTCCTCACTTTTTTTTGGGGAGGGGGTTGTTCAATCTTGAAACCTTCATAACCACACCGACTAATTTACTAAGATCACTTTACAAATGTCTATTGCTTTTTGATAACCTACGCCATTCCGGCTGCATACGTCTACTCACTATTCCGACTTCTTATAATTATACATGTGGTCTATGTGATGGTGTTGATTTAGAAGGGTTGTGAGAGGGTGCGGCATGCTATGTTGAAGTAGAAGATGTTATGAAATTTTTGAAAGAGTGTCGTGAGAATCACTACAGGGATAAGACTCATGTTGTATATGTTTTATAAGTAATGTATTTAGAATAATTAATGTGTTAATTCTAACTGGTTACATTTCGAGCAGAAATTGAGTGAAATTAAAATTTCGAATCTAACTTATATAATACTGTCCTCACACGGCGGGGAGAGGGAGTGTTTATATAATAAAAGGAAATCGTTCATTTTCATGGTGAAATGTGCTGAAACATACATGTATTGCGAAAAGTAGTAAACCTGTCACAAAATAGGTAAAGAAAAATACCTGTCCTCGTCGGGGTTTGAACTAGAATCGTGTCCATCACTAACCGTGACAATCGACCTAGATCGTACTGAGCTTAACTGGAAGCCAAACAAACCATAAATGTATTGAAACGCGTTCTTACTAAAATATTTACCCATTAGACTGTTCAATGTAGCATCGATATTTTCCCACAAAATGTATGCCCAAGACTCATAGCTCAAAGTACTTAACCTCGCTCACCTGTATTATTTAAAACTTTAAAATAGTAAATTCAAAACAGCATTATCGCCCCTTATTTCCGGTAGTGTAAGAATATGTAATATTTTATATGATATAGTCCATAACCGTTTTTGTAATGTTTTTGAGATAGATAGCCTAGATACAATTATTTTACCAATATTATATTTGTAAAACATATAAAACTGTATTCTTTTGAATTCTAGTGGAAATCAATTCAATATTAACGAAGTGCTCAGGTAACTATGATCGCGGAGGCACATTCATACCGGGACGACACCTTGGTAACGGGATAAACTAACAAGCTGTGCATCTGTTATGGTTCTTGGGTAGTCTGTTGTAGTGTTTAATTGTGAAGATCTACGGAGAATTACAACAGGATGTCGTTACCATTCCTACCCGGGAATTCGTTTAGTGGTAATGTAAGTATTTGTCTGTAAATTATGTTCTTAATAATTTTACTTTAGAAAATAATAATGTAGGCACGGATTATATCGTGAATAGCTGAATGACAGATCACAACATTTTGTTCATGGTAAATCGTTATGATACATTCAGCATAAATCTTGATATAATAAACAAATGAATATATGTCCCTGCTATTATCAATAATTGTAAGTGAATAATTATCACGTATAAATGGTATAATTGGTTAAATGGGTTTCCATGAACATGTATATGCACTGCACTGTTATATTATACATTCATCTAGTATGTGTATATTTTCCCAAAAATTATGGTGCTAGAAATAGATATATTCAACTGGTAACAAAACACCGTGCTTCATCAAACTTATTCTAGATAGATAATGAGGCATATCATCCTCTCCTACACCAATGTTACATTTTAAATAGATGTAACCAAGGGTATTTATTTTTCAATGTCACTGCTACCTTCGTGTTTATAAAGACCTCTGTTTACTAGACTATCTTAAGAAGATCTCTCCTTATCAATGTTTGTTGCAATATATAAAAGAGTTAAAATGCTACCTGCCCAAATGAAAGATTTGTTCATGCAAAACATGTTAATGTAAACAGTAGGCCAAAGAGTTCAGCTTAGCTATCTGCAGCTTCATTTTTGTCTTCATCCTAGCAATAATTAAAATTATAGCATAGTGACATGGAATGTTTTCCCTCACTGATGTTTTCCTCGACTCCAGTAATACGTATAATTTCCATTTGAAAATCATAACCTTGGGTGCAATGGTGGATGTAAAAGGGGTACATGCATGAACTTAAACCTGTGACCATTCAACCTCATAATAAAGGCAATATTTTGATTGTTGCAGCTTGGAAAAACAAAATATCATAAATCCCACCACTTTGGATACAAAAATGAAGTGTCTATGCTGGTTGGAGAAGATAAACCAGGTATTGGAGGAGAGCCACTGAGGGGGCAGAAACTGAAGCCAAAGAACACAGTGTACCCTGGTGGTGAAGGTAGCAATGTACCAGCATGGGTTGCCTTCGACAGGCAGGTCCTATGCTTTGATGCTTACTTCCAGGAAGCTGTACATGAGAAGAGAGAAGAACAGTATAGAGTAAGGAATTGCAAAGTTTATTTCTATCTTGAAGATGATTCCATCCAAGTGATTGAACCAAGAGCAAAGAACAGTGGTGTTCCACAAGGTAAGATATTTATATATATATGTGTAGTTGATTCATTACAGTATCAGGAAATCAACATAGGATCAACTGATTTCTTTATCTAGAATTATTTTTTTTTTAGAAAATTTGTACACATTGGTTTGCATATCAAATTGAATGTTGCAGGTTGTAATGTGCTATATATGTGTTATAAACATTTTGAGTTTCTTGCATAACACTTAATATCTTATATTTATAGGGACTTTGATCAGACGACACAGAATTCCAAAACCAGCACCAAATGATGATGAATGCTACACAGTAGAAGATTTCAACCTTGGAAAGGAAATCAGTCTATACTCTAAAGTTTTCAAACTAACAAACTGTGACGATTTTACACAAAATTTCCTGAGAAAACTTGGTGTTAGAGTACAGCGACCAGATTCTTCTCCCAATGATCCGTACACCAAATACAGAAAAGCTGTAAGTTTGAATTTCAGTACATCATGTTTTTTAGTCAAAATGAAATATTTTGATTTAACTATGTTGCTCTGAAGTGTACATTGAGAACAACTTCCTGATATGAAGATAATACTAATTAGTGATTATTGTGTGAATTTAATTCAAAATGACAGAACAAGCTCAGTACAGTGTATAGCTATATTTACTTGAAATGCTGTTTCACTTTAGATGGATGAAAGTATGCAGCCTCTGAGACCATACGAGAAGCATGACACACTCAAACAGTTCCTTGATCATGATCGTCATGTTCTGCGTTTCTTCTGCTACTGGGATGACACTGACAACATGTTCGGTGACCCAAGGGAGCTGGTCCTCCACTACTTCCTCGCTGATGACACAATTGAGATCCGTGAGGTCATTCCTCCAAACTCTGGACGGGATGCTGTTCCCATGTTCCTTCGTAGGGGCAAGCTTCCAAAGAACATTGAATCTCTGAGACAGCCTGGTGAAATCACTGATCGCACTGTTCTTAATGTGTTTGGACCTACTGGTCATGGCGGCAGATATATCTTAGACAGTTTGAAGGTAATTCATTCAGTCAATCTCATTTTATACTGCAAGAAATTAATTAATCATCACCGTTTATGTTGTATAGTATGCCATTGTGACTTTAGATAGAATAAGATATGAAAACTTATTCAATAATACTGTATTATTCAGAATTAGCTATACATGTATATTGTTTTCTTGCTTTGCAGACGGGTGCTGTACACACCCACTTCTACAATGATAAGGATCTGACAGTTGGGTCAGTGCTGAACGTCTGGGGCAGGAAGATCATGTTATGTGATTGTGATGATTTTACTAAAGAGTATTACAAAACCAAGTATGGCATCGGTAAGTTTGAACTCTATTGTAAGACATAAAAAGTAGTGAGAGAACTAGTTTTTGTGCAACATTTCAAAATATTTCAAGGATTTCATATTGCGACTTTAATTGTACCAAAAACGCTATGTAACTTCTCTTGTAGTACTATAATGTGGACATGACTTATATCTATACATACACATGGTCTCCAGCAAGAATTTAGTCTGCTTTGTATATGTAGGGAAAACACTACTTCATATTAATGAGACTTGTTTTTCAACTCTTTAAAGTTTTACTGTGTTTTGATGTTTTCTCATGGGTTTTAGAAAATCATTTTAAATTCCAATAGCTGCATCATATTTTGTTGCGAAATCAAACTATCACGGACATGTTATTACTCAGGATAGACTGTTTCAAATATGTTTAGAATTTCATTACTTATATTGTTTGAAGTCACATAATTACAATAATTTTGTGTTTTAGTTACACTTGTCGTCGTGGAAACATTTGGGTTATACACATTACAATATAATTCATATTTCAAACTAATGATTAAAGATTTTCTTTTAAATGCAGGAAGATGTTACTTAAAGTACTCTATTCTCATTTCAAAATTCAATATGGAATGCACATTCTGTTTTCACGTCTCCTCCTTACTGTTGATATTTTATTGTTAACAGAGGATTTCACAAATGTGCCATACAAGAAGGACAACTACATGAGGTTTGAGAAGGAGTTTCCACCCTACAATGGCTGGGGCAGTGAAGAGGACTCTCTCTGCTCATGTATGGGTCTGCTTCCAAAACCACCGAAGCGTGACTTCATCAAATTCATGGAGAAAGACCGTCGTGGTCTGGATAGCAATGTGCTACGTTTCCTGGCCAGGATGAACACCACCAAGCCAATTGACATGGACCGTCGCTTTATCATCTCCTATTTCCTGTCCGATGACACCATTCTTGTCTTTGAACCCCCTGTTAGGAATTCAGGTTAATTGTCCATTTATTTTTTCAGAAAATCTTATTCTATTCTAAGTCAATGTTATATTTGGTTCTCCATATAGGAGATGGGCATACATAACCTAGACATTTATTATTTTATGATGAAATTAAATGGAAATCGATAAATTTGGATTTGGTAAAGAAACAAAAAAGTTTTGTATCCATCAAAAACACAGGTTGTAAAGTATGACAAAAGGGATTCTATTTCAAAATAAAATGTTTGATGTTTTGACAGGTATCATTGGAGGGAAATTCCTTGAAAGATCCCGCGTAAAGAAACCAAATCAGCCACTGTACAGCACCAAGATGTCTGAATACTATCTATCTCAGGATCTGTTTGTCGGTGCCTGTGTCACCTTCAACAGTCACAAGTTTGTACTCATTGACGCAGATGAGTATGCATTCCACTACATGGAGGCCCATTCCGCAGAGGTAATAGTCCCAGTAAACAAGGTGTCTTTTAAATATACAGTGATTACTATGTCCTGAACTAGGAACAGGTTGAAGTTGATTTATAAAGTTGATTTTTTAGATGTTAGCTACATGTACTGGTATAGTCCTTTTTTTATATTATTAGTGATAAAATAAAAACAAAACTAGCAATTGTCATTCGTTGGATAAAAACACAAATAAGTTACATTTTGTATTTGACTGGAAAACAGTAATTTTTTCGATTTTTGGTCCTACAGTTAACTTCAAACTGCTTTCTTGCAATACTTGCAATTAATTTGATTATCTTCTTTTATCTTTCAGTTCAGCAAATCAAGCATTGAAAACATTGTCACCAGACTGGGCAATATTTTAGGGAAGACCCCTGACGAGGTTAGGTCATTCTTTGCCAAGAATGACCCCAGTGGCGGCGGAATCATTTCCTATGACCAGCTGGTGGCATTGTTACGCCAAGTTGATCCACAAATGACTGACCAAGAGGTCATGACCTTGGCCCGGTTCTATGCAGAAAAAACAGCTGAAGACACAGTTGATGCACGCAACCTGGTGGCTATAACACAAGAACAGTTGAGGAAGAGAAACTATGAGGGATTTGCCAAACTTGTGGAGGACTGCATGCAAAATGACAAGGACAAGTATGTGTTTCACTCAATTCTGTAAAATCATTCGTAGCATGGCACTGTATGTGCATCTAACTTGTGCAAGACAGCTAGTGTTGATTCTACATTCAAATAAACTAAAATAATTTAAGATGATTTCTAGTGGCGGTCTGTTGTAAATTATTTTACATATCAATATTATGATTGCCTTCTAACAGGACTGGGTTCCTAGATGTGGACACAGTACGGACAGTATTCCATGCACACCATGTACCACTGCCAGATGATATCATTCGTGCCGCACTCGCCATGTAAGTTAACAAGTCAAAAATGTTAGATTCATGGTTATGATAATGAACAGAGATGGAATGTATGTTTGCATGCACAAAATTTTGGTGGTATTAGGAATTCTGAAAATTAAAAAAAAAAAGTCATTTGAAAATATCTAGAATATGATAATTAGGAAACAGTTGGGGAAAAAGGCTATGGCTATGTAAATGGCAATCTTAAATTTGATCGGGTGTTTTCAATGTATGAGGAATAAAAACTGAAGTGACATGCAAAGACATCTGAGAAGCTGTACAACATTTCACTTTTTTTGGGCTAATCGCTAAAGACTGATAGAAGTATGAGGAAATTGCTCTGGATTTTTTTTTCCTTTTCTGTTATTTTCAAACACAAGGACGTTACCTTCTGCTAGAATAAATTAATTCTGTTCCCTTTGTTAGAAGTTAAGCAATATGTTCCCTACTTTATGATCTAAATGTAATTAAAATCAGTTTTGAGATCAGGGGAGGTAGTGCTCACAGTTTGCATCATTACTGATGACTGATGAAATATAATTATTTTGATCAGAGTAATCATATTTTGAAATATAACTGATCAAAAATTATCATTGCTGGAGGTTAAGGTATGTTTCTTCAATGTAGAAATATTTATGTTGTAGTGCCCCAGTGAATGAGAAGGGAGAAGTACAGTACACAGAGCTAGTAAACAGTATGAACTGGAGGGATGCTCCAGTTCCTCCCATGCAGCACAAACCAGTACCTGATGATTCAAACTGGAGTGGCACCAAACAGGACAAAAATGCAGTGTCTAACATCAACTACCTGCGATTGTTAGATGATATCTTTGGGAAAAGGCCAAGCAGTTAAATGGATATGTGACATTTAGGATCTTAAAAAGACTTCAAAGAACTACCTTTTCACATTGAAATGAAATGTTACAGAAGCTGTGATATCTGTTATTGTTTTTAAAGATTGTGCCAGCAGACAACACATAAAAGTGTTTGTTCTGATTGTGAAGAGACAAAAACATGGATTTGAAGAAACTCGTCAAGTTCAAATATAAGAAATGAATATTTTTCAAAACCAACAATATCACATTATGCAATCAGATAGGGAAGAAAAGATGTTTTTTTTCAGATGAATCCTTTAAGTTATTCAAAGTACATTTTCTTTAATAGTGAATTTCAAAAGTTCACTGACGAAGTAATTTTTCATGTAAAGATGCAGTGTCATTATTGTGAACAATGATTGTTCAACAAGTAAAAGTAGTTGTATAACTACCTACATGGTATTTATTATAGTACAAAACTGTTATTATTATAAAAGCAAACTTGTGATATACTGCCAGTGAAGATGCAGTATTGGGGTTTTTTTTTGTCACAGTGCTTAAATCCTTTATCTGAAGACAATGATATATTATTTTCTACGGATTTACAAACTTTTATATCTACATTGGCACATTTCACTATTTAATTTGTTTTAAAAATCTGTACAGTATGAAAATTATTGTGAAATAATACAATGGTAATAAATATTCTATGAAAAAATCAGATTTATATGCTTTTATTTGTCAGGATGTTAATCAACACATATCATAAAGAATATTATACCCCTTACTTAGGTCTGGCGGTGGATATATACTACTGGTTTGAGCTATATCAGGAGTCCCTGAACAAATTTGGAGGTCACTGGTCAAGGTTTAAAGTCAGAGGTCACCCTTGACCACTTTAGAAATAATAAGGCTGTGTATAAGTTATCTCATGAGCCCCTGAACAAATATACTTCAAATTTGCACCATATGATCACAATGTCAAGGCCAACATCTATGTAGATTTTGGCAGTCATCAGTCACAGATGTGTACAAAATTGGGCATATGAAGTATATCCATGTGAATCCCTACTCACTCGTTCTTATCTTCTTCTTTTTATAAAAAAAATCCAATGAGAATGGTGCAGATATACTTTGTAGCTGTCAATTAAATATATTTTCATGTTATATTCCGAGAGGGTTGAGAATAAATGTAGCAGTGTACAACCTGTCGATTTTGAAGATAAATCATTGGTACTTTGGTGCATTTCAATTGTGGGCGTACAACTTCAGGCTGAATAAGTTTCTAAAAGTCATTTATCTAAATTGACACTTTATTCAAAACTATAGTGAAATGAAAACTTATTTCACATAACAGTAACAAACAAAACTTGGCAATTAAACAACATCTGAGCCACTCAAAATAAGAATTAGAAAATATCACATAAATTGCTTAATAGTTACTATATTAATTACTTACACAGCTTAAAGTCAGAAAATATGATGCATGTTTATTTGTATGTTATCATTTGCCGTTCACTTCTAGAATCCTTCACTCCAAGTCCATTGTAATTTGTTGTTTTCTGTATTCCAAAACTTGGCTTTCAAATAAAACAAGTAATCATGACACCAACTCTAAATTGGATTGATTTTGTGTTTCAGGTGTTATTGTGCGTCTAATTCAGAGTTTGTCAAGGATTTCCTCATCTCCCTGTAAGTCTGTTTTTACCCTCTGCAGTACGCAGGAGGCTCTGTCTTGTTCATCTCGAAATAGTGACCTGTGTTAATATAAAATGGATAATATCAGTATCATACTGCACGTGAAATATAAATGAAAAAAATACAGTTTTTAATTCTTGTGATAATAAGACAATAAGATGATAAGAAGGGGTTGGGGTGAGGAATTATAAGACATACATGGCTTCTCTTTCCATAATTCAACACCATTAACAACAATGTACCTGCTGTTTCATAATGTTCAATCTAATTTATCTGTAAATGTAGACAGCCTAATTATAACTCAGTGAACATTTCTAATCCAAATTTATATGGGACATATATATATTTACAGGTCAATTCAATCTACTTTTCTAATCTGACCAGTACAAAGACATAAATATCATTCAGATCAACCTGTCTCATATCTGACTTCCTGTGGAATATGTACTCCACTCAACTAATGTGTGGAATCTTACGCAGGACATACTGTACATGTATAGAATCTTACATCCTACAGGACATATTGTACATGTATAGAGAACAGTCAAATCAACCTGTCTTATCTAACTTCCTGTAACAAATATTGGGGAAATACAGACCTATATATAGTTGTGGGATAATGATTCATTGCATGATGTGCACATGATGTCTGCACGATTTGCGCATGATGGGACGAAATCAGCTTTTGTTGTGCAGTTCTATCCTGGTTGGTTTATATCTAAAAATGACTTATAGATAAGTGTGGAATAGGGTTTATTTATTTTCTGAATATATAGGAGTACAACCAAATATATTTCATAATTCAGCTATAAAGAACCTTATTCATGGTACATGTAATTGTGCCCACATCCCAATTTAATCTTTCCTGTGTGTTGTTTGTTATTCCCTAATAAACTCCAAAGAATGTATGTTGAAAAATCAGTCATAAATGACCTGTACTATGACCTATTTTATGATCCTTGTCATGGGTGTGAGCCAGGGTGCACATCTTACCCCAAAACTTGTTCAAAGACCTATAATAAATCATTAAGTTGGGTCAAATCTTTTCATTAAGTATGTAAAGTATGCTGCATGTTTCAATCTCAAATATAAAGCTAAATATTACAAATATAAAAAGTTATAGAAGTTCAACTGGGAAAAAAATCATGATCTTTTATGAGAATTTCAACAAACTCAAGTTTTTGGACAACTGTTGGACAAACTTCACCCTAAAATATTTACATATTGGATGGTTTATAAGTCTACTTAAAAATGAGACATGTCTATCATTTCTAGTCCTTTGATAATGCTAGGACAATGAAGGGATATAGATCATTGCCAATTATCATTTAGCAGGTAAACCTCAAGTGATGCAATGATCCATTGTAAGTTTTCATAATCAATCTACAGTACCTCAATATTTTCTTGTGATTTAACTACCAGTAAAACAAATGTCATTATGCAGTGTATAATAATGATGCAAATACATTTCATCCTATGTAAGGTAATTGAAGTATTTCAGGTTAAAGTTACAAATTTATTATCATTGCAATAGCAAATGCTCCCACTTCCTAGTATTTCAAACATGAACCATGACAAAAAAGACACTTCATGACAAGTGAATGTTGACAGAACTTATAAGTAACGCAAATTGAATTATGCACTTACTTAATAGTTTTCCTAGTATCCAGGTCTATTCCACTGTCATTGAAATTGTCTTTGTTTTGTGATTCAAGGCTTAATTCTTCAAAACTTGACTGCAATGCCATCATTTCCTGATAAAAATTTCCAGCTGTAGAAAATATGTATAACGTGCAGCTTATTAGCCAAGAATTTCATTGATGTACAGTATTTCATTTTACTTCAACCCAACTTCCTGTTGCACTTGTAGCAAGACATCACAGCAGAGCAGTCTTCTATTGCCATACAAACTCACTGAAGTATATGTACACACATTCTCAACACTGACATTATATAAACAAAGTATATTTTTTTGTTTTGCTCTACATCTCCATATCACAGTGAATTTACCTTGGCTTTCCATCTGTTGTTTTCTTTCCTCAATTACCGAGATCTCCTTAATTAGGTTATTATCATCCTAAATGAATGTCAAAACAAAGAGGCATTAATACAAATGAACATTCTGTAAGTGCTTGATGTACATATATACATATATTCCAGCTTGTTAAAAGCTGGGTATGTTTCTGCTAATATAATTTTGAAACTTAAAGTCTCTCAAGTTCACCTTCAATTAAAAGGAAAGAAGAAATAATAATAATATCATTCTAGAATATATTAAAAATGTACCAAATAATCATGACTATTTATAAATGAAAAGTGAGAAACTGAAATGTTCACATCAACTTAAAACACTATAACAATTTGAACAAATGGTTATGCTTTGTTCACATGTACAACTTAAGTATTCTATTACACATGAAATGGTCCTTTCAACACATTCTATTAATTTTTCTTATGTCAACAGATAAGATATCAAGCTGAGCTTATTTAAGTCTTTTCCACGTATAGTGTATGCTCACATAGAATTTTCGAGCAGCAACAAGTTTGTCTGCAAGGGCTGCCAAAGTTTCTTCAAAGCTTTTGCTATATAAAAAAATCATTAATATGATTGACAAGAATGTTTGAAAGTAAATCATAGGATTATGGAACAGCTGGTACATATGATAATGGAACACTAGGTACATAGGGTAATGGTATATTATGTTCATAAGGCAAAGGAACACTAGGTACATAGAATAATGGAACAGTAGGTACATATGATAATGGAACATTAGCTACATTGAGAAAAGATCCATCAGGTAGATAGGATAAAGGTACATTAGCTACATAGGATAAAGGTACATTAGCTACATAGGATAAAGGAACATTATCTACATAGGATAAAGGTACATTAGCTACATAGGGTAAAGGTACATTACCTACATAGGATAAAGGTACATTAGCTACGTAGGATAAAGGTACATTACCTACATAGGGTAAAGGTACATTACCTACATAGGATAAAGGTACATTACCTACATAGGATAAAGGAACATTATCTACATAGGATAAAAGTACATTAGCTATATAGGATAAAGGTACATTAGCTACATAGGATAAAGGTACATTACCTACCTAGGATAAAGGTACATTACCTACGTAGGATAAAGGTACATTAGCTACATAGGATAAAGGAACATTACCTACATAGGATAAAGGAACATTACCTACATAGGATAAAGGTACATTAGCTACATAGGATAGCTACATAGGATAAAGGTACATTACCTACCTAGGATATAGGTACATTACCTCCGTAGGATAAAGGTACATTACCTACATAGGATAAAAGTACATTACCTACGTAGGATAAAGGTACATTACCTACATAGGATAAAGGTACATTTCCTACGTAGGATAAAGGAACATTACCTACATAGGGTAAAGGTACATTAGCTACATAGGATAAAGGTACATTACCTACATAGGATAAAGGTACATTACCTACATAGGATAAAGGTACATTACCTACATAGGATAAAGGTACATTAGCTACATAGGATAAAGGAACATTACCTACATAGGATAAAGGAACATTACCTACAATAGGATAAAGGAACATTACCTACATAGGATAAAGGTACATTACCTACATAGGATAAAGGTACATTACCTACATAGGGTAAAGGTACATTACCTACATAGCATAAAAGTACATTAGCTACATAGGATAAAGGTACATTACCTACATAGGATAAAGGTACATTAGCTACATAGGATAAAGGTACATTACCTACATAGGGTAAAGATACATTACCTACCTAAGATAAAGGTACATTAGCTACATAGGATAAAGGTACATTACCTACATAGGATAAAGGTACATTACCTACATAGGATAAAGGTACATTACCTACATAGGATAAAGGTACATTACCTACATAGGATAAAGGTACATTATCTACATAGGATAAAAGTACATTACCTACATAGGATAAAGGTACATTACCTACATAGGATAAAGGTACATTACCTACATAGGATAAAGGTACATTACCTACATAGGATAAAGGTACATTACCTACATAGGATAAAGGTACATTAGCTACATAGGATAAAGGTACATTACCTACATAGGATAAAGGTACATTAGCTACATAGGGTAAAGGTACATTACCTACAGAGGATAAAGGTACATTAGCTACATAGGATAAAAGTACATTAGCTACATAGGATAAAGGTACATTACCTACAGAGGATAAAGGTACATTAGCTACATAGGATAAAGGAACATTACCTACATAGGGTAAAGGTACATTACCTACAGAGGAATAAAGGTACATTACCTACATAGGATAAAGGTATATTACCTACATAGGATAAAGATACATTACCTACCTAAGATAAAGGTACATTACCTACCTAGGATAAAGGTACATTACCTACCTAGGGTAAAGGTACATTAGCTACATAGGATAAAGGTACATTACCTACATAGCGTAAAGGTACATTAGCTACATAGGATAAAGGTACATTACCTACATAGGATAAAGGTACATTACCTACATAGGATAAAAGTACATTAGCTATATAGGATAAAGGTACATTAGCTACATTAGCTACATAGGATAAAGGTACATTAGCTACATAGGATAAAGGTACATTATCTACATAGGATAAAGGTACATTATCTACATAGGATACAGGTACATTAGCTACATAGGATAAAGGTACATTAGCTACATAGGATAAAGGTACATTAGCTATATAGGATAAAAGTACACTAGATATATGTAGCCTTTTTTATGTAGGCAATCAATTGGTCTGTTTTTACAACATCATTTTTAGTACTAATTGAAATCACAAAATCTCCCATACAAGCTTTTGCAATCTGTCAAAAAAATCTGGTAGTTTGCTGTACACAGAGATTTGGTTGCATACCGTATTCAACCCAATAAGAGCCCATGTCCCTATAAGCACCCCCTCCCCCCTTCAGATACCTAAAAGTCTTGATTTACTTACGTTTTAGTCACGATCAAGAAGTGTTTTAAGTCGGTTTATAAGGAGATGTACTCCAGAAAAACATAAAAAAAACAGTTAATCTCCAGTCCACCAGCAACACAGGAATGTCGATAAGTGTCCTCTGTAACTACTGACACAAATTTCCGACCATGCCTGATAAAAAAATAGCTGTTTTTGACAGTTCACTTGGAATGTGACCCACTGTTTTCCCTTCTTTCACAACTCCGATTGCAAACAAATTATTATCCTCAATTAGAATATTCACACACGTGACTTCATGACGTCACAGTGAAAGGTCTTATAACTGTATCAAGGCACTGCCCCATGAATTGTTTGTTTTTTTTCACACATTCCTAAACCACATAGTAGATGACCTTTACCTTGTGTACCTTGGTGTCGCGCACTCAGCCACAGTAATGACGACTGAATTGGCATAGTCCATTACTTAACAGGTAAGACAGCCATTGATACAGCAGATTAAGAAATGATATTTTCATGTGTGATAGATTATCTGACAGAAACAAATGAAGCAGTTAAGATATCAAATGACAAATGAAATAGTTGCGCTAAAACAGCATGAATGGAATTTTATATCTTTATCATAAACAAATTCCCTTTCGTGTCATCATGTGAAGATGATCTGATACAAATTTATCGACGAGCACATAATGACAGAGTGCACCTTGTTACATAAAGGTTGACACTAAAATTATGGCAACCACAGACACATCACAATCTCACAAAGGGGGCCGAATCAAGTCGTATGAAATTTCTTTCAAGTTAAAAGCTGTGGAGTTTGCCAAGGAATGGGGAAACAGCAAAGAGTCAAAGCAGTACAGTATAGATAGGAAGCGAATTCGCAATTGGAGACAAAAAGAGAGTGAATTGAAAACATCTTTACAAAACACCTCAAAAAGGAGACATAAAGTTCCTGGTGGAGGCAGATTTTTTAGCACTAAATGTGTTTCTTTTACATCTAAGATGGTCTCTAATAAGTGCCCCCCCCCCCCCTTCCCCTTAATTGCAATTTTTTAAGCACCCTGGGCGCTTATTGGATCGATTATGGTAGTAATAAATATCATGTTCGCATACTTACATTTCCTCCAATTGAATTTCCTTTAAAGATTCAATTTTGTTGTTTTTCTCATTAATTGTCTTTCGTCTACTTTGATTGTCTTCTTCAATACTGCAAGAGAAGAACTCAATTAGAGATAAGAATTCGGGAAATTTTTCACGACTGTAACTGTTACTATAGCATTTTCCACTCCCCTTCCTTTTTTTCCCCGACTTTTTCGATTTTCAATAATGAACCAAATAAACATGTGATTATACATTTAGCCTTACCCAGAAATACACGCTATACAAATTAATCAAAAATTAAAAGATTCATTAAGTAAATGATAACCATAGCATTAAAAATATAAACTACAACTTTTATTTTAATTTTGATTTTGATTTCAACTTACTGACGTTAACATATATATAATACACTTAGGAATTACTTTGTCCTAAATGACATAATTGATGTGTGAAAAAGAAGTCCCATTTTTAACTGAATTCAACATTATGCTTGTTCCTACACTTACCTGTTAGCTAATGCTTGAATCTGACCAACTTTATGATGCAGAACCTTTGAAATTTCTACAATAAAAATAAGGATTCATCACCAAAGGTCACAGGTCAAATAATTCATCAATATAAATCAATATTGTACATCTTATTACAATGTAGAATTAAGCCAGAGGTCACAAAATAGGTCAAGTGTCTGGTAAAAGGTTTACGGTGCATCTATATTTGGAAGCAGCACAGAGAAAAAGATGTACAATGACTATGGATATTAATTCTCAGCAGGTTGAAAAAAAACCAAATGATCACATACAGTTTACAGATTCTCACTGTGTATGTAAAAAGTAGGATGTGAATTGGCCTGAAAGATTCGTTGTTATTTACAAGGAATGTGACATATTTGGAATGACTAAAATTTATATAGGAGTTAGGTGTCACCTATGAAGCAGAAAAGAATTACTTTCTGGAACATATTGCCTTGTACTTTTTTCAGGGGAATCTTTATAAATCTTACTTCTGTTAATATTTTGACCTAGTGTCAGTGATTTTGAGTTTGGATCAAGGTTCTGTCAACATTTGTATTTTCGTTGTTGTGTTTATACAGGTATATATTTCATACGCTATCTAAAATAAAAATACATATTCATTTCTTATATGATATCAGTCTTTTCATTTCATTTTTACAGTAGATTCAGTGACTGCATAAATTTGAAAAATTTCCTTTTTGTATGTGTGTGTTTTTTGTTTGCTTTTTATGATTTGAAAATTAGAAGAAAAAAAACTTTGTTCATTGCGGGAAAGTTTGTTTAAATCATGGCAAAAACTATCATAATATCACTAATTTGATGGCTTCATCAACACAACCCCCCCTCCCCCACCCACACACACACACAAAAATGAAACAAACAAGCAAACCAAAAAACAAGAAAAATGTAAAAAGGTTAAGACTTAATAATACCTGCTTTTTTGGTATGAACATCCTTCACCTGTGATAATTTGTTCTTGACTGAAAATAAAAGAAAATAAATGAATTGAAGTAACATCAAATCAATTCATCATAAAAAATTGAAATCTTGTGTAATTATCTGATATATATGTTTATCAGTGAAATGAATAATTTCTTTTTCATCTAATATATTTTTTGATATTTGGACCAATAATTGTTTATACCTCGGTCACATTATTTTTGTTTTTTTGGGAATGCTCTAAGAAAACTCAACTTCCAAATGGATCCACATATATCATCCCATATTACATGACAAAATAAAATGAAAACAGCTCTATTTAGGTACAGTCTTCCTAGCATTTTCCTAGCATTTTGATTATTGTGCTATAAAAATATGTATCTATGACAAGATAGGCAATACATGATAAGGTTTTTTTAAACAATTTTTAATATTTTATTGTATTCCAACCTAATCACATCGCTAAAATCTTTTTCATATGTAGAAAAAATAAGAGAGAAAATGCTTTAAGATAAATGTGATGAAATTTCATCAAAATAAGTGGTGCTGAGGGGCTTTTAGTAACAAGTTTTGACACATGTTACAAAATTAAAAAAAAAAAAATCCTATGAAAAGGAACAACAGGCCCTATGTGCCTGCATTGCTCATACAGTATTCAATGTTCATCTAAATATAATTAATGTTTATCACAAATAAATTAACCTGTACATCGTTGGCCTTCAATGTCGACATATCCAATCAATTCTAACCAATACCCCCAGGAAACAGCTTCTAATACTGAACTCTTAACATATTAACAATTATGATCTGGATAAAATTATACCCATATAGAAGTAATTTTTGCTGCCCAAGGCACACCTCTCACCACTCTTTGAGGAGTGAAACTATACGATAGCAAGACTTATTAATGCAGGGTTCAGTGTTATTTCGAAAAACTGTCTAATCAAAATTGACTTTCATAATCACTGATCAATTTCAATATGCCTGTGATCGCTATTTAGTCATAATTCCATAAGTTTGAGTTTGCATATAATCTTAAATCCGTAATATTAGCCAACCACTTTTACCAAACCGCACAAAATCTGCGATCCTAGATACTGTTTAGTGTGTTTGTGTGGATGATGTGCATCACCACAACTGTATTAAAAATTCTTGATGACAATTTTCTTCACTTTTTTCCAATTCCTGCTCTAGTCCTCTTCTCTTTGCTCTTTGCTCATGAAGCTTATTCTCAAGGCAAGTTCTCTCTGAAAAATGTCAATTTATATACAAAAACATAACATTGATAGATCTCTTAAAGGGACTAAATGGTTAGAAATTCATTTCATAACTGATAAAAAACATTATAATATTGAAATATCTGTTATAAGTTGTACACTTTCTGTTAATTATAATATTTTAAAGTTTGCATAACCATTTTATTAACAACGTCAAAAAATTCAGATAAAATAGGAACAACCCAACACTAATTCACATTATTATCGTTCAGAGAGTGGTAAACAATGTCTTTGAGCATGCAACTTTAGATTTAGATTCATTCAAGTTCATTTATTTCGCTCTGTCATGTATATAGTGTAAAACAAGAGGTCATTTCACAAAGTAAGAATTGAAAGATAGCTGACAAATTAAGTATTAGCTAATTACATCATTATACATAGAAAGAAAACATATCAAAACAGCAGGTTAAAACGAGGCTTCAAAGGTCACATGATGACCTTGTCTATCTCCCATCAAAACAGCGATAGGTGGTAGACACAACAGCAACTGTTGACTTGCTAGTTTGAAGCTGATAATCTTTATCATTTTCTGTCAGAATAAAGATAACTCGTTGGTTTGTTAAACAATTTGCTCCCCAACCTCCCGTCGGGGAGTTTATAAATAGTAGTGTCCCAAAAGTTTTACTTCGGCCTCGCTAATTTCATAGGTGAATTTGACTGTCGTATGAAATGAGTTCATAGCCTCAAGAAATGAGGATAGTGCCTCTCAAGAGTGCGGCCGGATAAAAAATATATCATCAATATATCTCCACCATACTAATGGTCGATAGCCTTGTGTAGAAAAGAATCTCCGTTCTATAAAATCCATAAAGATTATAGCATAATTACATGCCATTTTCGTGCCCATGGCTGTACCTTGTATTTGTAGATAATATTCCTTATCAAATCTAAAACAGTTATTGGCGAGAATCATTGCTACCATTCTCAGTATAATCCAAGTACATGGTTGTTGTGTTTCAGTTCCATTGTCTAATGCCTCCTTCGTGGCTCTAATACCCTCTGCGTGTTCTGTCAGAATGTTATCATTTTGTGAAGCGTCTAATTTTAAGTATTATAATTTTCCCTGAAATCAAACATGTGGAAAAAATAACAAAATAAACTATTTAGTCCCTTTAAGAGAAAATAACACCCCAAAAAAATTGATTTAAAAACAAATGGTTTAAAATCAATTCAGGAATTCCAGTTTCATATTTCAAAGTTCCCTCCTTTTATCATTGAAAATATATAGACTACTGTGTTGCATTATCACACAAATGCTATTTGGATGTCACACATATATATATATGACCTGCAGGAAATCTTTATAACGACAACATTCCAGCTCGAAGGAAACTAGGCTGCAGTGCATTATTGTGTTATAGGAAGGAGTAATGAAAAACACCCTACCACTGCTTGAGTTCGAACCATCACCATTCTGTCTCTAGCCGGACAGTCTACAGCTTGACGAAAGAGAAATTTCCACTCGCTGAAGGTAGTAAGCTAACAAGGCGAACTGTACTCTTGACTTTTAAAATAGTAGGTCCAATGGCTACTGTTGGTGTTTCTTTCTTTATCAATTTGGAGGTTATAATGAAGTAAGAGCCAATTAAAATGGATAAAAGCAAAGACTCATTCTCGATACTCATGGGGTTACGAGGTTACAAATGAGACCGACACTCAACTTCAAAGCCATTACAATATACATCAAACTAATCTTTTCGTCTTGTCCACAAGGTGTCAGATATGGAGCCTTCAATTTTGCTATGATATGTTCCAGGGGTACAGAGAGTGAAAGTGATCGTAACCCCTGGCGTATCGAGGATGGCAGAGGCATCTTCACACCAGCATCAGATACGTCAAAACTGGTTCCCCAAGATTGGCAAGAACCCACTGACACATCAAAGTTCTAGTAAATAAAATCTGAAAGTCAAAGATAATGACACTGAAGCCAGTTGTACATTTAAATTATATTCAAGAGTAATTGTTACCTTGTTGTACTTCATTTAGACCTTGTCGCAACATTTCTGCATTTATTTATTTTTCTTGAGACAGCAACGTCTGTTTGTATTCCCGCCAAACATCAAACTGGATTAGAGGGGAGGTAACTCTTGATGAAATGGAGGCTAACTGTTTTAATGATCTCTAAGAGTTACTGCCCTTCGTTTCGCTCTGTCTAGTGGTAATGACAGCCAGCTGGACCGAAAATGGAAAAAAGAAGTCAAATCACGGGCTTGTATACATATATATCTGTGAGCCAATGGTGAAAGAAAGAAATTATTTGATTAAGGTTGATGTCTGTTGAAAACTTTATGTGATCATGTTTTCTTTCTCTAATCTCACGAAGTGAAAAGAGTGGAGTACAGTTTTTCCCTTTGAAGTTGTAAAAGTGTCATTAGTGGCAATTTTGCATTTAACTTATTCGTAGTATATTAGCTGTAGACGTTCGTATGTAACGGAAATCAGCCTACCGAGAATATTGTACGTGGCGCAATTCGGCAAAACTTTTAGAACGCACGCGGGAATGCGAGTGAGATACCGAGCGGATGTGATGTAATATGTAGTAAACCTGTTTGTCCAGTACGTATTGTCTATGTATAGTATGCGAATGTCGCATACCACAAGACGGCTCGTTTGTTCTTGATTTGTTCAAGATATGCCTCATGAAAAATGCAGTACGAAGTGAAGTCTTTCTTTCCTTTGTACCGCATTACGCCGAACTTCTGTGCTCAGATGGCCTCCACTCCAATATGTCATCCATCATCCGCCGTGTAAACTGTTCTTAAATGCAATTTTCTACCTGAATTAACAATCAGAACCTGCATAAATTGAAATTCAAGATAGCAGCAATAACAACCATCTCTCTGACATCTGCACTTTTATGAACTAATTAACCAAATTCTTTGAATGATGTTGATAAAACTCGTTTGAGTGTTTTGTCGATCGAGGGCGCAGAGACAGGATTTCGTGTTAAAGGGGGCGCAACCTTTTTCAACTGAAAAATATCCCACCCCACCCTTCCCTACCCCACCCTTTCTTGTATAGCTTACGACTCCGATTTTATTTCTTTTCCCAGTTTTTGTTCCTTTTGCATTTCTTTATGCAAAAAAAGTGAAGAATATCAGACATTAGACCTTCGTCTGAGGCCAGGCACATAGCCAATAGTATGAGGTGCAGGGTCCAGGGCGAAATTGGAAATACACCAGGGTTGTGTTGCAAGAATGATTTATTTTCTTGAAAAGTATATACAGCAGCATATTTGCGTTAAGATAGATAAACAATGTCGACAAAAGAATCCATGTTTAGTTTTGTAACTAATTGGAAAATAAGGTAACGTGCGGTTGTTCTCAACGAAAAAGGGAGACGGAGGTCGTCCTGAATGATATTGTCCTATATCCCTCCTCAAGGACACCTGTAGGACAACTTGTCTAAGACATAGCCCTGGTTTTTTTGTTTGTTAATTTTGAATACTAACATAATGTCCCTAGTTCGTATGTGACTAAGTGTCGTAGAGCTACAAGGATGCGTGATGATGAAATTTCAGTGTATTATTCTCGCAAAAAAAAACAAAAAAAAAACAAAAAAAAAAAACAAAAACAAAAACAAAAACAAAACAAAAAACAAAAAAAAAACCCCACTTTATCCGTCAGAATAGACAATATCAATTATTTCTTTAAATTGATTTGATTTCTGAGTATTGATGACAACGATATATCGTCATTTGACATACATTGACAAGATATGTACGTTGATTTCGAGGACTTGTTAGACCTATGACCTAGTGACTTATATAACTGAAATTAGAATAATTTTACATCGAGTCTACGTGTTTTAAACGATCGACGATAAACACAACCAGTGTTCATCCAGGGCTTCCTAAACGTGTCTTCAATACTGAAAATGACCAAACTACGTAACAATGTTAACAATATAATGTACCAGAACTTAAAAGATATCGTGTTAGGAACACCAAACATGTTAAAGTTTAGGTCAACATTTTATGTCTATCTTAACATTCCGTAAGAGAGCATAATTCACCCTTTGTTATACATTTATCTGTACCACATATTCAAGTGTTGTAAAGCCTGTCCTCGAGTTTTCACTAATCTTAATTAGTGTAAATGTAACATTCATGGAATAACTGTCGATAGTTCCCGATTTACTGGCGTTAACATTCAGAATGCAGCTACTTGTATGTCTTTTTCGGAATATATGACTGCACACTTTATATATCTAGAAGTTTTAAGAAAGCCACAATGGCATTATATTTCAATGTGTATCTCTGTATTAAGAAAAAGCAGTTGTCATGAATATCAGAAACTTAAACGGAAAAAATAGTGGTCTAAATTAGTCTGTCTATCGTAACACTAGACCTACGGATTTTAGAAATATTTCCAAACAGAAATAATTTGGTATCTGTAAATATCCAGCTGTAAAGGTCGTAAGCATACGTTTCCATATCACTAATAATTGTTCAATGATTGACGACCACATTATTTTTGACAGTATCGCGATAGTTTGGAAAGATTGGAAAATCTATAGGCAGATTCCGTCGTTATAGTTTTCCTTTTGTTACACAATGACGAAACACAGTGTTTACTTGGGTTGACCGAAACGTTTATTTCATCGTTTAGTGGTTTTCCATAGTTAGTACTTCGCGTTAATATCCATTACAAAAGATAGTTCCTAATCAACATACAGCATCATGTCGTGGCACCAAAAATAACCACCTGTGTAAGGCAGACAAAAATAAACACCTGCCCGTCCATATCAAAGAGTTCCCTACAAATGTCCATGGGTCAACTTGGCCACGGCCCGCTCCATCGCGGAGCAGGTCCCATACGGGACTCTGCCCGTCTCCACGTCCGACTCCCAACTCTCTCTAGCTACTCAATCCCAGATTCGACTAGACTTCCGCCGGCTATTGTCTTTGTATAAACAATACCCAAATACTTAATTTAAGCCTAGTCCCAGTTGGACAACAATAACCCAGCCCCCGGAGCATCAATCATACTGGCGATATTCTGCCACGGTGCTTCACCACTTGGGTACACACCCCGCCCGTTATCAGGCGTGCATCACTACCTATCACTCACTGGATCTTTTCCTCGGTCCAGCATTGACTGACTTTTGACCTGATGTACTTTAAACTAAGATGCTGCTCTCTACGATACACCCCATTCCAAAGTTACCATTAAACCCATTTTTTTTACTCTTTTTGTTACACTTATTTATTTATTTGTTTTATTTATTTATTTATTTGTAAGTTGTGTGGGGCTAGGACGGGGTTATTTAATTGTTTCAAGCAACGAAAACCACAATTTGACCACAGAAAAAGCTACGAAATTACTCTATACAAATTTATCAAGAGCATGCACACATCACAAAATGCTTGATAATTACAAAAACAAAATATAACACGATTATTCGAAAGATATTTATGCAATGTGTAGGTGCATGTTTACGTTTTTGCCACAAGAATGATCAACTCTTATTTATTTATTTTACTATTGATAGAAATAAGAGCCAAAGTGGCGTTAGTTTTGACACTCCACATTACTTAAGATAGAAGAGTGTTGTGATCTACCTATAACAAAGAGTCACATGGGCGATACCATCACATAATGGACTCTGAGCACTACAGTCAGTCGTGTTACATATATGTTGTTCGCTATTTGCATATTTTTTCCCCTATTCCAGAGACGATACGTATATTACTGGGGGAGACTCATCATATATATATTATCATCTGGTGATTACAAATAGCAAAAAACAAACACTTCAGAGAATACGTTCACCCCTGCCTATAAGTGGCCGGATGATTGACGCTTTCCTTAACACATCTTGATGTTTACGATAATTGATTAATGGATAGTTGACACCTATATGACCCATGGTCATATCAGTACTAGACCATTGGAACACCTGTGGCGACTATAACTTGGACATTACATTTATGGACAAGTCACTCGTATAGAATCGTATCTATATTTAATTATCGTGGCCATTCGTAGAGTGCTAAAATAGGAATTTGAAAAGATCGTTATATCCTTGTTAGTTTGTGAATTGATAGATAGGTATTTTCTGGAAAATCTTACATAAAACACCAGGTCTATCAGTCCATCCTCAACACCACTCACTCCCAGTGGATAAACACAAAACATTTCAGTTTGCAAAAAATATTCAAAAATGTGTCTTGTCATGGAATTTAATCATCGTAATTCAGATAATGACACAATATGAATATATATATATATATTCAGGCTACAACGAATATGTTTCATGTATTTACATAACACGTCACACGTGATCTATAGCGTATAAAATTTAAGTAACACAGACAATACCAATTAAGGTAAGTGGTGCTCTATAAGTGTTTGTATGGTTGGTAAAAATCGTACGAAAAAGCAATACATTCACATTATCATCATTTATATTCAATGGTTATCTATTATCTTGATTCCTATTTAAAATAAAAAAAATCAGCGAATAGATGTTAAAGAATTATATGCTGAAACCCTTACGTTCACAAAGATCCACAAACACGAGAAATCTGCATGAAGCCAACATCAAACATAAATAAATTGGATTTACACTTTGACCCTCACTCAACATGAGGGTGTTGCCAAGGCATACACGTTGCTCCCTAATGCAAGATTTGCTAGTCACGTGGCTAATGATGATGACACTGTGTAGTCATGAAGCCATCACAATTCATTTTTAACTTGTTCATCATAAAACAAAAGCAAAACGTGTCATAATAGAAACCTTGCGTTTTTACAAAATTCTATTTTAAGTGAGATGCTAAAGACAGCATGCTAATACTCCAAGGAAAACAAGCAGCGTTGATAGGTATGGCTCAGTGTTTACTGTTGTAGCACCGTTACGAGCTTTTTGTGTCTCCGCAATCCAGTCATTCACCACTGTTTCAAGAATGTATAATGGCATGGGTCCATTTTCCAGAATCACGGAATGGAACTTCCTAATATCGAATAATGCTCCTGCAACAAATATGGGTTTTGTCTTATTACAGAATATCCATATATTTCAACGATTTGTTACTAGCTGTCTGTTCTGCTAATAGCATGAATTCGTTATTGAAGGCAAAAGAAATAACGAGAAAATATTGACGACTTAACAAAAGCTGTCTATTGTTCAGTAATTCTAACTTGAAACCAGGGTCAGAATATAGACTCATAAAAAGGGTTATGATATTTATGAAAATGTTGACATTTGCTTATGAATGAAAACAGAATATTGGCTCAATGAGATTATGTTAGCGACCATCAAGTATCTATCAAGACAACGGAATTTTATAATTGTGAAACAATATCACTAACTGGCGTCACGCCATGTTTATTCAAGTACATTTCTTTACGTTCAGTTGATGTTTGATATCGCTACCATATTTGCAAGCAATAGTTACCTAACTCCTCTTCTGATTTCTTTCGCAATTCAAGTATTTTGAGTTCTCCCATCTTATATGAACATGCCTGTCCAGGCCACGTGACATAGCGTTTGATTTCGTTTTCAATAAATCCTGGTCCGAAGGCCGTGTAGTTATGCATGTATTCCTTAGCCTTCTCCAACTTCCAACTGAAACAGTAAGATTCTGGTGTTGATCTAATGTCCCAGATGAGATTATCAAGACATAATCTTTGTTCTCGTACTGGTTTATTTATTAAAATTGTATATCTTCTGGCAAATAATCATAAAATGGTAACTTTTTTTTTTCAAATCCTCGAAAATTTCTTCAATAGATGGATGCGTGACAAATTGAATGAAGGGGTCGAACTGCTATAATGAATAGCAATCTTCTGATTAAGAATAAAAATGTAGACTAAAGACACAAAACACTGATGCCATGATTGTGACAAGAGACACCGGCGCGAAATAAACGAGTCAAAGACCGGAAGCAATTGCAGCCACTGTTCGATATAGAAATTCCTGTTCCAATTCTGACGTGACTTATAAAGATCTATTGTAAAGTGGTACAATATTGTGTAATATACAAATATCCATGTGCTTTATGTGCTGCATATTATTAATAGTCTGATATACAAGATAGTAGGTAAAGGTTTACCATTCTTAAGACATTGTAAACGTGTAGGGGTTTAACTTACTGAGTTTTATTTGTAACATTGTTATAAATCTACGATATTTACCCACCAAATATTCTCATGATTAATGGAGATCTTACTTATAGTAATGTATCCCAGTGTCTACGACCAGTCGACATGCTCGCAACATCTCAGCACTATACCGTCCCATTCTGAAAACAAGCATACATATCCTTTTCGTAGAATTCAATAGAATCATATATGTACAAACTCAATCTATAATTACAGGAAAACATTTTTTTCTGTTTTTCATTTGAGAACATGACATTTCTAGCGTAGATTGATCATGGTTTCCATCGTGGGTGTCGTTGATGAAGCAGAGGACGCTCGTTCTATGTCCTATTCTCCTTGTACTTCTTCAAGAGTCTCCGTGTGTCTTTTGTTCATGTTTTCATCTGTTTTTATTGTATTTGAGTTTGGATTATGATTATGTAAACAGCTTATGGTATATCTGTACGTATCAGTATTTACTATTTTGTCTTCTAAATTGCATTTTGCATTCGCCATGCCACTCGATAAAAATGAGCGAGTTTTACGAAATACATCGAGCAAATACCAGCATGGCAATATAATTATACTCCAAAGTCAAACTCCATAAACATAGTGCAAAGTAAGAACAAAAGAAAGATTTACACGGATACTCCTGTGGAGGATAAGACCAGTTGTTCCGGAAGAGAAAGCGTTTCTGCTTCATCGACGACACTGGCAATGTAAACCTTAATCAATCCAAGTAAATAATATAACGCTCTTAAATGAGAACAATGTACATGTATACAACAACGGAACAAACAGGCAAAGTTAAGAGCATCAAACACGTCCAGCTTTACATCACACAGAGAAATAGAATATTTCTCAATGAGATCAAAAGAACCTGTTATTTTGGACATAGATTTATTCCACCTGAACGAGCTATAGTATAAGTAGAAATATTTCTTATTTTATGTTGCTAAAAAGATACTTAAGAAAAAATATTTGTTGACTGACAGACGACAAGATGGACAAAGGACATAATCCGCATCATTGCGTAATATCAATAAAACAATATGTATTATTAATCGAACCTGATAACTTACAATTCATAATCATCAGCATACAGCCCCATCTCCTCTCCAAGATATTCTGAATACAGTCCCCAGCCCTGTAATGTATAGTTGCAAATATCAATGTTTTTATCAAATCCTGGCGGTTTTTTTCTAGGGTTTGCGTTTCTTTCTTCGCTTATAAGTAAAATTCTATATTACACGGTAAGGTACTGCATGACTTGAAATATGGCACATGTGTTGATGATATAAAGAACGAACACATGGTAAACGCTAACACAGGGTACAGACCGATAGTAGTATATGTAGCTGTGAAGAAATTGTTCGGATGGTATTATAAAATAGTTTTACCATACTTCGATAACCACATGGAACGTGTTCGTCTACCGTTATGGTAACCATTCCACAATATTGTAATGTATTATTACCGATTTCAATTTGTGAAAGAATATTACATAATCACAGACAGTGAAATTTCGTAAACTTATATTTGGTACAGAATGTTACATATATTTAAATGCATGGTTAACTAACCTCAACATAGGCTGAATGAAATGGCATGAAATATGGAACCTCATAGAAGCTGTATTCTGGGAATCTTCTGTACTTAGGAATATCTGCTTTCATTGAGAAGCTGTGCTTCAAAGTGGATAATTGAGAAATACAAAGACACAATAAATGCCATGTTTGAATATAAACGGTGCCAGTGACATAATGATTGTCTAGGCAGAAAGAAAAATATTTTCTAGAAAATGTTTGAATACATTCAGCACAACGCTTATAAATAAATAAAATTAATGTAAATTTACTATATATGTATAGTGATTATTCAATAATATAATACTTGTTTTGTCAGTGCTATGATACCTGCATATGATGACCTGGGTAGGCTTCGTGCAGACTCAATGCCATGTAGTCAAATGTAGGACTGTAAAAATACATCAGAACATTCTAAATTATATTTTTTCCGTTTTTTTTTCTCTGTAGTAAATACGTAAAATCGCACAGACGCACATCAGCATTTAATAAGTGTGATTCTTGAACTATATAATAACATATTAGAGAACGTATTAATGTTATCATTACTATGTGTTATCACCAAGGAGGATCAATCCTATTCTACGTAGAATATCTACTATTAAACCTATAATTCTACGCCTATTATACATTGTATCAGGCTATTGAAAACGATCTAGCATTAGAAGTAATTTGGCTTGTTCGAAATCCTATAGCAAACTCAATCGTTTTGTCAATTGCAGTGAAACAAAGGAGTTTGTATTCTCTGTTTTTCCTTTGTCCTTTAGTCCTCTAAAACGGACGATGCAACGCGATTATTCTTGAAGCCAACTTACTTTTCCCTTGGTCTAAACAGGTTAATTATAAATTTCCCTGGATTAACATCAGTCGCTAAGGCATAAGCACCACCTGTACCGTCATATATGGATTTTTCTACTCTGAAAGAAAACAATATCCGAGTCAGGGTAAAGACAGCAATATGGGATCGCCATAGTGATACAACCTAACAAAACAAAATTAGTTCTAATATTTTCAGTGTAATTTCCTATTACATTACAATAAAGATTAACATACACTTTGGCATAAGGTCGCTATCATTTAAAATAGGAAAAAAACCGGATATTTTGCTCAACCGAAAAAAAAAAATCAGGATTGAAGAAAAGAAAGTACTAAATGAATTAAAATCTAATTCAAGATGTAGTATCCATAAGATACTATTTTAGAAATATATTTGTAATAATGTATAGTCATATGAAATTATATCAATTATGAACCTACTATATACATAGGCTATCTTCAAATAGTTACTCACATCATCTCCACGTTAGGTATGTTGGTAAAATATCTATGTAGCTCTGGTTTGATTCTGTTGTCTACAAGATCCTTGTAAATGTCTATGATTTCATCCTGATTAAAAACAACATAGCTTTATACATCTAAGTATGACTGCATATACGTCAAATATGAATAAAATATTTGACTTCCGTGTGAAGACTCTTGAATATACAGTTATTTACCTAATTCGTGTGCCATACCACGCATCAGGCTTTTTTTTCGAGGAGACATCTTAACTGTGTCTATTTACATTAAGATCGGAATACATATTTTACAATGGTTTTGGAAATTGTTTCACTTACAGCGTCATCTATGATGAATCTCGGGTCCTTTCCAATACTTCCTAAAAAGTCTCGAACTGTACCATTAAAAGATAGCCGATTCAATATCTGAAACACCAATTACCATTGTAGTTCTCTGACAAAAACTTTCAATGCAAAACGTGGACGTCCATTTCCAGCACATACTTTCTACTGACAGGTTGCTGCAGGAAGAGTGTTTTTTTCAATGTAAAAAGTCTTAAAGGTATGTCAGATGTTTTGATTACAATTACTTCGAAGTCTTATTTCATAGATGATTAACAGAAGAGAAGCAAGTACATGCATTTACGTGTGACATACCAATTAATTATAGCGATTTTTCTAGAATAGTTAGTGGCTCTGAGTAAGCTTTACATTCGAAAACAAATATACATATATATTGTACAAAACATTGCAAATTGATCATGCCGTATTACGGGAACAATGATAAAAGAGACAGATTATTACTACTGAACACCTGTTGCATATTGCTGTATATACGATCGACCTCCTGTAATCCGAGTCTGTGGACGTACGTTGCGGACACGTTTTGGGATGTATGCCACTTCAGACACGCTTGATAAAAACGGACACCATTCCATAGGGACCGTATAGATGGTTCTGGCCGGGTATTTTGGAGGTAGGTCTTGTGAATGTACAAATTCAATATACATATATCACGCATTGTAATACAAGCCTTTTAAACAACACCCTATTAACAATTGGCACTATGCACATTTAATGGCATTTGCATAAAACCAGTGCTTCCTTTTCCTATTTTTGTTTTTCCTGAAATATCCCCAGTTTTCAGAGCTTTTGTCATTTTGTGATAATTTACGTTTTCGACCTTTTTCATTTATTTGATAATTTTAACACATTTGATGAAAATTTTATCTTATCTTTGCTACCCCAGTGAAATATTGAAATAGTGTGGTTAGAAAGTGTGAATAAATAGAATTTTGCGAAAACACTCACATTTTCCAGATATTGCTTTAGACGTCTAAAAGAATCAAGTACCACAGCAATGCCCTCTTTCCCACGTTTCCTTAGTGACTGCCTTGGTAATGTAAAAAGGTGTTGGTCACTATCATTGGTATTATTGAATTATCTTAGCATAAATATTTATAAGTACTTTCCAACCTTTATAGCCATGCTTTTTCATACCGCAACTACATATCACATAATACTATCTAAAAGGTAGGCATCAGTATATGGAATTCACATTCTTAAACATAACCCTCCTTCCTATCCACAAAAAGAATAAATAAACAAAATAAAAATTAAAAAAAACAAAAACAAAAAAAAAACAAAAAAAAAAACCAAAAAAAACCAAACAAACAAACGAAAAAATGCATATGTACATAAGTGTTGTTGATAAGCATATTTCCCAAAACTGACTCATTGTGTTATTGTCAAATTTACTTTATAACATAAACGACTGACAAATTGTTACTGACAAAATTTTGCTGTCTGCTGTATATTGTTTCTTTAAACTAAAGTATTTACCTGTCTTTCTCAGGGATGACGGAGTTGTCTAGTGATTTGTTGAATGGGATATAGAAATTACTGTCGGTAACATCTACGAGCATTTCCTCGATTTGAGCTGGTACTGCATCCTGTGGATAAGCCACAATATGTACCATAGATACTAGGCATCTATAAGCAGTTGCAATAAAATTTAGCTTGGAAATGATGATGAATATATCATCATTGAAACGCTGGGTCGATAATCTAAAGCCTGGTTGTTCGGTATTAGAAGTACCTCGAACTGCTTGAGGCAAAACAGCATTCGGATGTGTCGAAAACATTCCAAGGAGTTTACAACGCTACCTAGTGATTGTCGTTTGCTAAAACCGCCATATTTACAAAACAGTGTTATTGCATGCATGCAAGCTAGCCTTATACTGAAACGTATAAACACTGGCCGGCTAGGTGTTCCTGACACTATTCAGATGAAGATTTGCATAATTACGAAATAGCATTGCTTTGGTTTGAAGTTTACTCTCCGAGATGGACAATATGGCGGAAAGTACAGTATTATGGAGGTGTGGCCGAATTCTAATTGTACATAAGTTCACGATTATTCCTATATGTTGATTTAATGGGGAATAAATCAAATAATCGAGGAGAGGATGAGAATGTTGTGGCTAATTGTCATTTTGCAAAATATGTGTATGATCATTAGGGATATCAAGGTTATTTTTATAAATTCCTGGGGATTAAAACATGAAGGAAATTAAGGCCGACAGGCATTGTTTTCGCAAACGTGAGTTATTGATATGAGAAAAAAACCTTCTTATTATGAGCGTATGTAGGATCGGGATATTTCATCCTTAGATTACAAAATATGGTAAAATCCTCGGATTTCACCATACCATGTGATCCTCGGATGAAATATCCCATCCTTCATATATGCAAATGACATATTCATATTCCAGCGGCTCACAGAAAGTTGGCCCCTTTGATTGAAAATGAATGCAACATTTCAAATGGCTCTTGATAGTCATTTCCTATAAAAGTGTTTGATTGTTTTGCATTTAATTAATATTGCGTATAAAATTACAAATATACAAACATAATGTATTATCAACATGTTTAGCCTTTCAGTAATTTAAGATTTTTTATTACTTTAGGATGTTTGATCTGATCAGCCGTTAACCTCGACACTTGATTTCTTCTGAACACTGAAAGTGAAACTAAATGGTTCACCAGTTATGGGTAATTACGCCCTGCATAGAAGTCCATGGTTCAAGTTTCTTTTATGCACTTGATATTTTATCGTCAACTACAGTCTTGTAATGTTTTAGTGCACCCTATATACAGAAAGGAAACATTATCATACAGAAATGTAAACAACGTTTACTTTTACAATAACAGAATACTAAATTGCGGAAAGCTATCTTTATTACGGCGATACAAGAATTTTTTTATGACATGACTCTTTTTGAGGACATTATATGGCGGCACATGTATTTTGAGAGAATTCTTGTTTTTTACTAGGTTATAATCAGATACTTACAACAGAAACTTTGTGGTATGGCCTATTTATATTAATTGCTTTATCCATTCTGGCAATTACTTCATCAACCTGAAGCAAAAAAACAAAAGACAATACCAATATATAAGCTAAGTAATTCAAATTCAATAAAACAATAGCAAAATATGAGCTAAGTAAGATTTACATGGTGACCATTGCAATTAAATCGTGTTCAAGTCAAGTCATTAATGTGGCGTTCCCAAAATGAGAGCAATGTATACAACCTCGGAACTAACAGGCAAGCTAACGAACACCAAATACACCCAGCTTCATCGCACAAAGGATGTATCATTATGGCCACCGTAAAGCTTCCTCATAATTTTCATCTCGAATTCTCGTGTTGTGCGTTCTTCACAATTCTCATCAACCTGATATCTCGAAATCCCGTGTTATGATTTTGTCATTTCTCTACATCTTGCACAGAAATCGTGATATTTGAAACAAATCCTTAAATATCAAATACACTGCGACCTGATAACGCCATTCCCAGGAGGGAAATTGAAATCAGCAAGCTTTTTGTACAGTTTGGTAGAAAGCTGTCCATGTTGGTTTCGTTGTAGGGTAAATATCGATGTAAGCTACTGATATGTGCTGTCTGCAGACTGATTCAGTTATTGTTTCTGAATAATGAATATATCAAACACGTTCACATTGTTGAGACTGAAACGAACGAAAATAGGTAAAATTTTAGTTTTGTGATATCATGATGAGCGATTATATTTTAAGCAGGCTTCAGATTAATGTACTAATGTAGAATAAGATGAATAACCGGCTCATTATTATTCATGAGTATAGAGGTTTTCCAATTCCCGCTGTAATTATAATACCCGAATTACTTAATACTTATGTAATTATCCATAACTTGCTAACTCGAGTTTACTTATCACATAAATTACAGTCAAGTATTTAATTTCTTGTCTTACCAACTTTGGTATGTTGAACATTCTGACAATGTAATTTTCAAAATCGCCTCGTGTGTTGCTTTTTGCCTTCTCTACCGGGCTGTACAAATGTATACCCTCTAGAAAATTGATAGGACTCAGCGTGAACCTGTAAATTGATAAAACTAGCTACAGTTAATGTGAAAGAAAGTAAATCATGATTACACCAAACTACCACGCAAACTGTAAAACTACAAAGCAACAGCTACATGCATTGCATAGTCTGTCTTGCTAGTTGCGATACAAAACGAACTGGGCATGCGCACCTACAGACAACAAATACGTTCACCAAAGATGCTCAATTTGTGGTATAGGGATGTCAAAGGTAATACGTAACTGTTCAAATAAAAATAAACTTAATTCAAACTCAAAACTGAAACTATGGCAAAATATAAAGCGAATTATGATTTACACGGAAAAAAGTAAAAGGAGAATAAATGCATTTTCTAAATGTTTTCCACCAAATTAGTGTTATTACAACAGAAATAGTGATCATAAGAAACATCCTCTTGAAGATTAGATTTCCTCAGTCTTTTACATTAGTAGAGACCTCTTCAGGAGATTTTCTTAAATACATCGACGTGAAAATATATAACGGACACATTATCATGTTGGAGAAACTTTATTATATACGGGATGGTAAATAGGCTTTCACTTCATTTTTTAACGAGCCTTGGTAAGTAAAATTGAAATTGCGAAACGAGTTTCATGAAATCTCATGAGAAAATTAAGAGCATATATCATATATATATATATAAGAAAGTTTCATTTTGACATATTTTAAATTAAAAATATAGAGGATGAAATTAAAAGGAGGCACTCATATATGAACGAATTCACTTGATATCAGGTCATTTACGTGATTGAATAAATAATTAGTTATGGATACAAACACAAAAATCGCTTGCAAGACCCCAGTACCTGCCCAATAAAATAGACACCTTGAGGTGTCCCTTATCTAACACGTTATTGTTAATCTTGCTAACAATCTTGAGAAAGTCATCAATTTGCATGTCGAACATTAAAATATTTTCCTGAAGACCTGTCAACTGCGAGTGATTTTGTTTCTGGTAATTTTGAGTTCTTTGTATAAATATACACGTATACATGCATGCAATGATATGCACATCAATAAAGAATGCAATCAACAAAATGTCAGCATAATCCGAACTCAGTTTCAATGAAATTCGGGAAGAATATGAACAAAAGAAAGATTTACTCAGAAATTCATGAAAAAAGTACATGGCGAATAAGACCAAGTGTTATGGAAGAGTTAGTGTCTTCTGCTTCATTGACGACACTCGCCAAGTAAACTTTGGTTAATCCAAGTCAGTAATGCCACGCCCTCAAATGACAACAAGGTATACAACAACAGAAACAACAAGCAAACTAACCAGCATCAAATATGCCCAGCTTCATGTCGAATAGAATATTTCTCAATGAGATCACTACGGCGACTATAAACATTCCCCATAATTTTCATCAGCATCTTTTGAACCCTTGTGTTACGAGTTTGTCAGTAAGTTGACGACTTCTTACACGAAAATCAATATAATGGGAATATTCCCCTGAATATCGAATAACCTCATGTAATAGGTTGCAGATGCAAGGATATTGTTATCTAGAAATGGAAAATTCACAATAAGGGAGTTAAAATCCTCATGTTAATCAGCAGCCCATGTTTGTTTCGTTGTAGAAAAAGATTGAGATGAGCATCTGATGTAAACGAGTCTAAAGACAAGACGTCACCAATATATGTGAAGATGAAATTACACGACTTTGCAAGGTCTTTGTGACCTGTTTTGATAAGCTCTTCAATAGCCTCGAATGAAAACAAAAACAAGTCAGCCAACAGAGGGGCGCAATTGGTTCCCATATGTATTCCAATAGTATGCTAGTTATGTTACGAACAAGGTATAAAACAATGGAAATAACAGGAAAATTAACAAGCATCAAATGAATACTATTTCGACAGTATAACTTACACATAGCATCCTTTCAACCCTTGTATTACGAGTTTGTCAGTCAGTTGATGATTTCGTACACAAAATGCGTGAAAACAGACTATATTGAATATTGTCGTTCATTTCATATATTACTTACCAGCCCCATTGACTATTTATTTGGTAGTTAGTAAGCATGTCTTTAAAAATCACATATTCCAGTTGCTTTTCTTTGCTGAGTGTATCAACGTCCACTAACGGTAACATTGATAGAAACCGGTCAGCTTCTTCCTGTGAAGTAAATCGTTTCACATAAAATGTCACTCAAGCATAGCCATGTGGTGATAGCTATTTTGCACTTTTGGATAAAAAAAATTAAACAATAAAAATCCGTTTAATTCACGATATTAAATGTACACGTTGAAATTATATAAACTTAAAAAGCCATGACATGTTATGGTATCTAGTAGTCTATACAAACCCATTTCTCGTCCATGACGGATAAATTCAGTGATTGTGTCCAATCGTTGTATTTATATTCGCCCTGATACGTCGAAAATTCAGGAGAAAATTTCATCTTCGTGTCCCAGAAGCTATTTAGAATGAGATCGAATGTGATGCTATCAGCTGCGATAAAAGAATCAACAAAGCGATTATTCATATGAGATATATATTATTACTTTCACGCCTGAAAAAAAGAACAAAGCCGCTACTAGCTGGTATAAATACGAAAAGTTAATCTTCAAATTAATGCTTGATCAATTATTGTTGATTTTTAAAATTGTAAAGGCAATAAACGAAATTACAAAAGGTTAAGTCCGTGACAAAATATAAAATACTTTAGTATATATAAGAGCTTTTTCCAATATTGTTGCAATTGTTGAAGTTATCCTTCATTACTCCCAATAGCGAGGGACCTATGCGTGATGTTTACAATATTTGTTTTACTTTTTTTATTTGTTCTTTTTAAACATAAAGATAAAGTTAGCGATTATTCCTAATTCATCAATACGCATTCGATCTATTACATACGTGTTGTCATTAGTTCATTCGTGTTGTCACTAGTACAAACACGTTGTCACAGTACATACTTGTTGTCACTACTACATACGTGTTGTCACTACTTGTCACGCGTACATACCTGTTGTCAAAAGTTGTCACGAGTACATGCGTGTTTTCACCAGTACATACGTGTTGTCATTAGTACATACCTGTTGTCACTAGTACATACGTCTTGTCCCTAGTACATACATCTTGTCACTAGTTGTCACTAGTACATACATATTGTCACTAGAACATACGTGTTGTCACTAGTACAAACGTGTTGTCACTGGTACATACGTGTTGTCACAAGTTTATACGTGTTGTCACTAGTACATACGCGTTGTCACTAATACAGACGTGTTGCCACTATTACAAACGTGTTGTCACTAGTTCATACATGTTGTCACTAGTACATACATGTTGTCACTAGAACAAACGTGTTGTCACTAGTTGTCATTAGTACAAACGTGTTGTCACTAGTACATATGTGTTTTCACTAGGTATCACTAGTACATATATGTTGTCACAAGTATATACATGTTATCACAAGTACAGGAGTGTTGTCACTAGTTATCACTAGTACAGGCGTGTTGTCACAAGTATATACGCGTTGTCACTAGTACAGGCGTGTTGTCACTAATACACACCTGTTGTCACTAGTACATAAGTGTTGTCACTAGTTTATAAGTGTTGTCACTAATACAGACGTGTTGTCACTATTACAAACGTGTTGTCACTAGTTCATACATGTTGTCACTAGTACATACATGTTGTCACTAGAACAAACGTGTTGTCACTAGTTGTCATTAGTACAAACGTGTTGTCACTAGTACATATGTGTTTTCACTAGGTATCACTAGTACATATATGTTGTCACAAGTATATACATGTTATCACAAGTACAGGAGTGTTGTCACTAGTTATCACTAGTACAGGCGTGTTGTCACAAGTATATACGCGTTGTCACTAGTACAGGCGTGTTGTCACTAATACACACCTGTTGTCACTAGTACATAAGTGTTGTCACTAGTTTATAAGTGTTGTCACTAGTACAAACGCGTTTTCACTAATACAGACGTGTTGCCACTATTACAAACGTGTTGTCACTAGTACATAAATGTTGTCACTAGTGCATACATGTTGCCACTAGTACAGACGTGTTATACTAGTTGTCACAGGTACATACGTGTTGTCACTAGTACATACGTGTTATTACTATTACAAACGTGTTGTCACTAGTACATACCTTTTGTCACTAGCACGTACTTGCTGTCACTAGTACATACGTGTTGTCACTAGAACATACGTGTTGTCACTAGTACATACATGTTGACACTAGTACATACATGTTGTCACTAGAACAAACGTGTTGTCATTAGTTGTCACTAGTACATACGTGTTTTCACTAGTACAAACGTGTTGTCACTAGTACATATGTGTTGTCACTAGGTATCACTAGCACATATATGTTGTCAATAGTATATACATGTTATCACAAGTACAGGAGTGTTGTCACTAGTTATCACTAGTACAGGCGTGTTGTCACAAGTATATACGTGTTTTCACTAGTACAGGCGTGTTGTCACTAGTACAGACGTGTTGTCACTAGTACATAAGTGTTGTCACTAGTACATACGCGCTGTCACTAATACAGATGTGTTGTCACTATTACAAACGTGTTATCACTAGTACATACATGTTGTCACTAGAACAAACATGTTGTCATTTGTACATATGTGTTGTCACTGGGACAAACGTGTTGTCACTAGAACATACGTGTTGTCACTAGAACAAAAGTGTTGTCATTTGTACATATGTGTTGTCACTGCTGCAAACGTGTTGTCACTAGTACATGCGTGATGTCACTAGTTGTCAATAGTACATACGAGTTGTGACAAGTATAAACGTGTTGTCACTAGTACATATGTGTTGTCACTAGGTGTCACTAGTATATACATGTTGTCACTAGTATAGACGTGTTGTCACCGGTTGTCAATAACACATACGTGTTGTCACTAGTTGTCACTAGTACATACGTGTTGTTACTAGTACATTCGTGTTGTCACATGTATATACGTGTTGTCACTAGTACAGGCGTGTTGTTACTAGTACATACGTGTTGTCACTAGTACATACGTGTTGTCACTATTACAAACGTGTTGTCACTAGTTGTCACTAGTACACACATGTTGTCACTAGTAAATACATGTTGTCACTAGAACAAACGTGTTATCACTAGTTGTCAATAGTACATACATGTTTTCACTAGTACATATGTGTTGTCACTCGTACATACGTGTTTTCACTAGTAAAAACACGTTGTCACAGTACATACTTGTTGTCACTACTACATACGTGTTGTCACTACTTGTCACGCGTACATACCTGTTGCCAAAAGTTGTCACGAGTACATGCGTGTTTTCACCAGTACATACGTGTTGCCATTAGTACATACCTGTTGTCACTAGTACATACGTCTTGTCCCTAGTACATACATCTTGTAACTAGTTGTCACTAGTACATACATGTTGTCACTAGAACATACGTGTTGTCGCTAGTACAAACGTGTTGTCACTGGTACATACGTGTTGTCACAAGTTTATACGTGTTGTCACTAGTACATACGCGTTGTCACTAATACAGACGTGTTGCCACTATTACAAACGTGTTGTCACTAGTACATACATGTTGTCACTAGTACATACATGTTGTCACTAGAACAAACGTGTTGTCACTAGTTGTCATTAGTACAAACGTGTTGTCACTAGTACATATGTGTTTTCACTAGGTATCACTAGTACAGGCGTGTTGTCACAAGTATATACATGTTATCACAAGAACAGGAGTGTTGTCACTAGTTATCACTAGTACAGGCGTGTTGTCACAAGTATATACGCGTTGTCACTAGTACAGGCGTGTTGTCACTAATACACACCCGTTGTCACTAGTACATAAGTGTTGTCACTAGTTTATACGTGTTATCACTAGTACAAACGCGTTTTCACTAATACAGACGTGTTGCCACTATTACAAAAGTGTTGTCACTAGTACATTAATGTTGTCACTAGTGCATACATGTTGTCACTAGTACAGACGTGTTATACTAGTTGTCACAGGTACATACGTGTTGTCACTAGTACATACGTGTTATTACTATTACAAACGTGTTGTCACTAGTACATGCCTTTTGTCACTAGCACGTACTTGCTGTCACTAGTACATACGTGTTGTCACTAGAACATACGTGTTGTCACATACATGTTGTACATACATGTTGTCACTAGAACAAACGTGTTGTCATTAGTTGTCACTAGTACATACGTGTTTTCACTAGTACAAACGTGTTGTCACTAGTACATATGTATTGTCACTAGGTATCACTAGCACATATATGTTGTCAATAGTATATACATGTTATCACAAGTACAGGAGTGTTGTCACTAGTTATCACTAGTACAGGCGTGTTGTCACAAGTATATACGTGTTGTCACTAGTACAGGCGTGTTGTCACTAGTACAGACGTGTTGTCACTAGTACATAAGTGTTGTCACTAGTACATACGCGCTGTCACTAATACAGATGTGTTGTCACTATTACAAACGTGTCATCACTAGTACATACATGTTGTCACTAGAACAAACATGTTGTCATTTGTACATATGTGTTGTCACTGGGACAAACGTGTTGTCACTAGAACATACGTGTTGTCACTAGAACAAAAGTGTTGTCATTTGTACATATGTGTTGTCACTGCTGCAAACGTGTTGTCACTAGTACATGCGTGATGTCACTAGTTGTCAATAGTACATACGAGTTGTGACAAGTATAAACGTGTTGTCACTAGTACATATGTGTTGTCACTAGGTGTCACTAGTATATACATGTCACTAGTATAGACGTGTTGTCACCGGTTGTCAATAGCACATACGTGTTGTCACTAGTTGTCACTAGTACATACGTGTTGTTACTAGTACATTCGTGTTGTCACATGTATATACGTGTTGTCACTAGTACAGGCGTGTTGTTACTAGTACATACGTGTTGTCACTATTACAAACGTGTTGTCACTAGTTGTCACTAGTACATACATGTTGTCACTAGTAAATACATGTTGTCACTAGAACAAACGTGTTATCACTAGTTGTCAATAGTACATACATGTTTTCACTAGTACATATGTGTTGTCACTAGTACATACGTGTTTTCACTAGTAAAAACGTGTTATCACTAGTACATACGTGTTGTCACTAGTACATATATGTTGTCACTAGGTGTCACTAGTACATAATGTTGTCACTAGTATAGACGTGTTGCCACCAGTTGTCAATAGCACATACGTGTTGTCACTAGTGTTCCTTTTCGTCAAATCAATGTTATTATGACTTAAGACTCTGACTGTCTGATCAAGTTTGATTACAGGATGAAATGAAGTAAGGCTGTGAAATAAGAAGGATTTTTAATTCACACTTACAAGTGTTAAGTGCAGTTTTAAGTTGATATTACATTTTTATGTACAACAATGATATATAGTATAAAGATATACGGCTGCACGTACCTCCAGTTGAGATAAACATTGCATACAGAGCACACACACAAGTCCACATCTGTAAAACATAAGCCCGGGAATACATTGATGGATGGAACAAATCATTGTCCCGACGTTTACATACAGTACATCATATCCAGTAACAATTCGTTATCACGATTCTTCTCTCTTACAATAAAACTTATACCAGGTTAAAGTAATATATATCCTATGTTAAGGGCATTGTAGGTGCACAGTGTACATATAGACTTGTATACCAATCCTGCATATTTATATATATGTATATTGCATTAGTTTACTTACCTTGAGTTTTGGCTCTATACATAAAAGTAATTGCAAATTACACACCGGAACACATTGTACTTCATTCTTGTTCAGTATTTGTGTGTATCACAACATGCCAGGATGAAGCAAACATCGTTTGATGAAGCTGGTTGTAGATGTCGATACTGTTCCTAGCTGAGAGACGACGAAAGCTTTCTCACGGGATTGTTGTGGTGCATAGAGTACGCTCTACCAGACTAAAATTCCCTGCCTCGATCCACCAACACGTAAGATAACCCGTCGATTGAGAGCATTCGTAAAACCTGACTTACCAAGGTTAAGGCTGGGTTGTGGACCAGAACCAATGTTTCATCCAGATAGTGTAATTCGTTATCTATGTAGTATAGCTTTGCGTTCATGGATTTCTTACATCCTCATCAAACAGCAATAAATTGTTTCAAATAAGTTCACGATCTTTTAAAGTTAAATCAAAATGAAAACCCTATTCCATTTTCTTAGCTTCGCATTTCCAATTGTCTTGTGTAATGACTTAGAAATGTTATTTACACGTAAGTAGTATCGGTGACGTTTTCTAGGATTGAGACTTGAATGTTATTGTGCACTCACACACACACTAATATATATTTATACCACACATACCGCTGTAGGCAGTCAATAAATAACTTTATCACTATCACTGTTCTAGTACGCGCTGTGATCGATGGACAATGATACTAAAACCATTCTTCGCTGGGTTTAGGTTGTTGTTACGTAGTTGAGTTAGTATCCCTGCCATAATAGCATGCGATGTTTTACGCTGTTTCAGCCATTTTATTTGAATCTTGAAGCTGGGAATATAACTCATAAATTTCGTTATGGCATCAATTTATTTGCAATGGTGTTACATCAAGGAAACAAGATATTCTAATAACTGGCGATAACGCTAGTGACCTATATTTAAATTGCTAAAATTGCAATAATTTTCAACTTCTTTTGTGCTTATTACAAATAAACGATATAGGCATATAGTTATAATTATTGTAGTGAAGTATGACATATGGACTACTGGTCTATAATTATGTATGATTATAAATCGATAGACTGACTGTACAAAGGGACAATATAATTATGTCATATATTTACAAAAGGCATAAAAGTGAATAATTAGATACATCTGCTCCAACTCATGAATTAAACTGCATATACATATGTTTCGTCCTACTCGGCAGTGATGATAAGGTCCTTACTGTTAATACCTAGGAGGCGAATGACGAAATTCATAGTTTAAAGGTTTTGCTGTCCAATCCTATTGTCGATTATTTTAGTAATTTTGGTAATATGGGTTAAAAGATTTATGACACATTATCTTAATGATATTGATGATAAATACATTTGAATCCATTAACAAGATATGATAAAGCTGATGTCGAACAACTTTCTCCGCACATAAACATTTAGTTTGCCTATTTTTTTCAGAACTTATCTTTCATATTACATGATTCATGGACATCATGAAAACAAGCACGCGCGTTTAACTCTAATGTTTTCATTGATAATTTCATCACCGTATATGTAAAATCATCAGCAAGAGAAATTCTACAAGAAATGCCTTCATCTCTGAAAGTCTAGCCAGTCATGTGATGATATGGTGTACTTTAATTTTCGCATTAATAAAAACATTTAAACGTGATAAGCTTTTTGAGTAAAACCCCTGGATACTATCAATTACCGTGGTCGATATCTTAATACGTTCACACGTACATACCCTTTTCGTAACTGATGCAAGGAACCACTCAATGTTATACTGTACACGAGGAAATATTTGCCAATTCTTTTTCTAATAATTTTCTCGTTTTGCACCGTCTTAAATTCACCTTCAGCAAATATAGGACATATCTTAGCTTCAGCATTGATTTTATTATCTTTCTATTTTGTTTTATTTCCAACTTATACCGTTTTTTGTAATGCTACCGTCGACAAACTGCATTGAACTTAATCTTCAAATATACATCTAAAATACTGTATGTTCCGTTGAATGAATGATAATTTATAATATGAATATTTTCCTTAACTGGACCCTGTGGACTAGATAAGGTTCAACAATGCGAAAATATATAGAAGGAGCTAGGGAAACCAAATTAAACCATTTGTGTGATGTGTTTGTGGCTTAATCAGTCTAACTAAAAAATAACAAATTTAATTGGAAAGTTCGTCAAAATCCTCATTTAAAGCCCCTGTTATCTCAGACTTCTCAGGACGAAGTTTAAAATGTAGTAATTAAGACATCTGGTTAGTTATACGTTAAAAACAAGGAAACGTCTAGTACATGTAATGTGAATATCGTTTAACTATTTTTTTACTAGACCTGTTTTATTCTACATTTGTATTTAAATGTACTATTCACCTGTAAATTTTCTGTAACTGGTAGCCTTTGTTAGTATATTTTCATCTCTCGAAGTTTGTCTTTACCCGCATACCATAACTGTATTCATCTAAATAATATACACATGTACTTGACGTTTGCTTTTAATAATTCAAAATGGAATATCATGAAATTGACCCAATTACATATTAATGATAAAAGTAAAATATATTATCTGTAATGTTTCTAACCGTAAACGAGTACGAAAATGCTATTCCTTAATGCCTTTTTCCACATTCATTTGATTTGACGTCGTTGCTGGATAGAATTTATTTTAAATATCCATTAAAATAACAAGATCTCAACACTAAATGAAAGTTTGCTTTATGTATCATAAGCACTTTTACAAACGTACAAAAATATATCTAATATTACTTTAATAAATTGAAAAAAAACAAAACATATATTTTTTTTTTGTGTGTATGAAGGAAGTAATATATTATCAATATGTACACGACACATGGAATAAAAACCACATCCACCAATCAATACTACGCCATGTATTGAACCATCTTTTGTAACTCTCTCATGTCGCCATATCATGCATAACAGTACACGACGAATTCTCAACTGTCATGTTTTGAGAGTTAAAACATATAATGTCAATGGCTGCAATTCCTTGGCGACAATATCACATAGCTGTATGAAATAACCTAGTATTGACTCCAAACTCAGGAGTTCCGTTAGGCTATAGATAATATATTTCTTTAGAAGTTCAATCGATATATAAAGGTTATACACCTAGTGGTGTTATACAATATTTCTTTCACTCTCGGTAATTGTTTTTCGTAAGTTACAAAAAAATTTACATCAAGCGATTATTTTTGTAACAAAAGCCATTGAACGAAAAACCACATACACCAACTATATATAACATATAACAAATGGTTTCTACCACAATAAAAAAAGACGATTTCGAAATTAAATTGACCTGTTCTGAACTCAATTGTGTTTTGTTTACGTAATTGGTTGAGGCGTAATTATATTATCTTCAGTGAAATTACAACATAATTTTTTATCCAGATATGAACAAAAGGAAGAGTTGTATAGAGACAAAGTTCAAGGAGAATAAGACCAGGTATTCAAAAAAAAGAAAACACCAACATGATAACATAATCATAATTCAAAGTCGAATGCCATAAAACTAGGTCAAAATATGAGCCAAGGAAAGGAATTCAAGGAGAAGAAGTATTCATCTTGTCTCTCAATTAAAATATCGAATTAAATAAGTAATCAATAAGCTAAACCAACCAGTGCGATAATGACATACCAATAAACGAAAGGATATCAAGTTACATGTCTAATTTTGGTTTGTTATAGAGATATTTTTCAGTTACTAATTAATGTCTTTTGAAGACATCTCTGCATTGGTTGCCCGCATTTTAGTCACAATCGAATCAGATAAGTCATTGTTAACGGTACTTCAAATGCAATGCAGTTTCTGGGCGAAATTACGGCTTCAGGGAGGTCAATTTTGCATCGTGATGATGTGACATCCCATACTATTTAGATAACTAGTAAGAACAATGTCCATGTTTCGAATGTGCCTGCAAAATTTTCCTTTCTGAACCCAATAGAGCACAGCCAGTACGGCGTCAACCAAATACGCCTTCCAGCTTCCAGAGATGCTTTCCAGGCAATGAACGATGTGAAGAACGCCATCTTGGCTAATACCATTCGACAAAAACCAGCCTCTGTTCGCCGGCGTAAACGTTTAACGGCTTAGGTCCCAGCCAGTTGTGGTCACAAACGTTGCTAACATCGTTCTTAAAGAGAAACCCACCACATGTCTTGAACATCACACGAAATCATAGTTTAATTGCTTTCTAATGTCTTATTATGATTTATTACTCACACGTCTAATTAAACAAAATTTTGCAATGATGCCATAACTACTTCATATCTGGAACAACTGTAAGGAATATTTCCAGAAGACAAATTAACGAAAAGTGTGGTCTTAATCATTTCGGACAATCACAAAATGATGAAACAAGGTCTAAAAAAATGCGATTTCTTCCGGTTGTAAGGCCGCCATTAGTGAATTTATAGTAATTCAAAAACAAATGCAAAAAAAGGTAAACAATTCTACTGACAACCTAAAATGCTTCCTATCAAATAAAGATATTTATCCGTACCAGATATTCTAATATTCATCGTAGATTTTTTTTGTTTAACATAACTACACCTAAGAAAACATTCGTATAGATTTTAGCAAGAAAAAATTGAAATACCATCGCATTCCAAAGAAAGGACTTCTTTTGCCATTTGCATGATCTATTTTATGTTCTTTTCAATCTGCTACAGAAAAAAATGGTTGACTACAAACAACCAAACTATATGTATCTGACAAGTAAGTAACATCAATTCGACCACTTAGTGTTACTTCCAAATGTCAACGCATTGTATTGAACTAAATCAGTTTCGCTTATAAGGTATGCATTGTGGAATAGTAGCATTGAATAGAATTTAATTATAGTCACATTAATTTGGTTGGAATAACTATCACAAGGAGAACATTAAAACAAGGTAGCTATTTAATTTCGAGGAGCCGAAGGAACTTAAAGTGTTTGTGATTAACAGATCAATGTAAAGATATTCATTGCATCACTATACAGAGAAAACTGCTACCCACTACCTCATTCTAGGTATGTTCTGAACGATGACCATTGTGTAAGTTCTGGTTAGCTTATAAGTACGTAGAAACATTTTACAATTATTTAAATCCTGCTTATCCTGATACACCCTGGTATAATGGTTGTCTTTAAAAACATAAACGATTATCGTGATACTTGTACATTACGTGTGCTATATTACAAATATTTCTTGTATAAGAAATGTCAGTCCTTACTTACCTTGTTCAGATTATATCTCATTTTTCCCCACAATTTGTTAACAGCTTGGATTTTAACAACTTACAATTCATGGTCTACTTAATAAATGTATAAATTTCAAATACGAATGTTTTAAATAGGAGATTGGAAAACAACAAATTGGTTCTTTAGATGTTAATCTGATTGATTGCATTTCTAATGTTAAGCAAATGCACATCGTAATACAACACAGCTCAGTAAACAAATAATATGGATGATTTCACTGAGTTGAACAACGGTAGCAGCTGATGTTGTTGGTACATTTTTCTTCGTCGTCATAATCCAGTCATTGACTGTTGTTTCCAGTACGCTTAGCGGCATAGGACCATTAACGAGAATCACAGAATGGAAGTCACGAAGGTCAAAGAAAGAACCTACAATCAGATAAATCCAGAAATACAAGTGGTAACAAAATAGCTCATCTCTTCAAATAAAGATAGAGAAATGATTAGAACATAGCATTGTGATGTTGGATGAAAGAAATTATCTGCTACCACACAATTTTTTGTATGACAGGGAAGCGGAGGGTGTTATACAGTACTATTGATATATAGTCCCACGTGTCTAAGTACTTTTTCTGAATTTTTCTTATCACTATGATCATAGATCACTATGGCGACCATAAAATATCCTCATAATTTTTATCAACCTGAATCTGTTGAACCCTTGCGCTACGAGTTAATCCGTCAGTTGACGACTTATTGCATGAAAATCGTGACAATGGGAACAGGCCTTTGACTATTTGAGCAACTGTGACATGTAAACATCATAGGGTGGAGATGCAGGGATATTGCTATCCAGAAATGGAAAATTCACTATAGGGAAATTGAAACCATCATGTTTATCATACAATTTGATGGAAAGCTGCCCATGTTGGTTTCGTTGTAGGAAAAGATTGCGAGAAGTAGCCGATGTAGAAGAGTCTGTGGTATCTTTGATTTCCAGTTCTAGTGGATATATACGATGGAAGTAGTCAATACATTTCTTGTTATTTAAAGACAAGACGTCATTATATGTCTGAAGGTGACATCAAAAGTCTTCACAAGTGTGAAGTCATCATTACCAGATATATGCGATAGTATACTCCAGTCAGCGTACTACAGGATAAAGTTCATGACGATTGATTATTAAAAGGCGTTTAGAAAAATATGCAGTACGCAGTAGAAACCAAATGTTAAGAGGGAAGACATTGAAATAAGAAATGATTTGATATCAAAATTTCAATTCCTTGATATATAAAATATTGTGTCATATAAGGTAATGCGAGTGCTTTGCAATAAAATATGTCCAGAATAGATGACGAAAATACTTTAATTCATTATTATGACTTTTGTATTTGATTAGTACCTAAGCACTGACCAAGGTGCTACGTATACCAAATAGTTATACATGTATGATTTTTCGGAAACATTATGCTTTAAGTCCAGTAAAATTTTCAGGGCAAAGACGAAATTGTGTTACTTGAAAATAAATTGTTTTAAAGATAAGAAATATACATACCCAGTTCAGCTTCTGCCTTTGACCTAAGTTCTCTCATGCGAATTTCTCCGATCTTGTAACCGCAGGCCTGTCCCGGCCACGTGATATACCGGTTCACCTCTATGTTCACTGCCTCAACTGAGTAGGCTGTGTAATTCAACATAAAGTCTACTGCTCTTTGCTTCTCCCAACTGCAAAAGAGTTGATGTTTTCTGTTTTTCATGCATTTTACTGATCGATACTATTCATATGATTTGATTATCGTATTGAAAGCACATACCTGATACATACAGTGAATGTAGCTGTTGATGAAAGTGAAGTTACAAAGCACCAGATAGTTCCATTTGCTCAGTTAAATGTTTATCAAATAAAACTTATTTTCAGCATGCAGCATGTGTTTAAAGTAGTAAATACAATTGAGTAGTAGTTGCTTTTTATGTTGATATGTTTATTAGACAATTCTACTGTATTATTATGCTCTGGGGAGGACTAAAGCAAGCTGTGTCTGATATCCAATTATTTCGCATATTAACATTCTGTGGTGAATTTTCTATTGCAAATCTCAGCATAAGACAAGTGGTAAATTTGAAATAATGTGTCCTCCATCGTAGTCAGTTCTCTCACAAAATGGTATCCCCATTTATATTTTGTATTTCTGCTGGAAGAGTCATGGCTGAATACCTCTAACCAACCAACTATTAGTACTGTTTTATATAACTGGCCTTCTCGTACCTCGGTGGAGTATCAAATCTGTAAACAAGTTCGTTATTAATCTCTTAAAAGGTGAATTAGATATTGGTTTGCAATATAAACCGGGTCTCTTGATTTGGTTATGTGATCTAAACAATATTTTTCCTCAAGTGTCATTTATTTATCAGATTTTAGTGGAGACGGTAAATCATAAAAAGTTGCCGCCATGTTGGAAAACTCTATTCCGTTTTTGTCTCGTGAGGCTTAATGAGACTTCTTAAAATTTCCTTACGCTTTCGCTTTCTTCTGACCTAATCATTGTTTATTGACTTTGGTCTTTTTTCCATGTTGAGAATCAAAAGTGTGCGGCGTTTGAAAGTATTTATATGCCATATGAAGAAACGAGAATGAAGGTGACATCCCACGTGATCTGTCTCTGCAGTTAAGTGTTTTGCTTAATGGTTAACTCATCCTATGGAAAACTTTTTATGTATTACAAGGAGAACCAATTAATATTAATAAAATGATATCCATGATATGTTATTGTCATTTGTTATTATTTAAATATATAGTATGCTGGCGTTTTGTTCAGCGTACTTCAGTTAACAGTTAACACATATAATAAAATCGTAATGTCGTCAGAAGTTACAACATTGCTTTTTATAAAAAACCAACAATCAGGCTTTATATGTACGAGTTAACTCCCTTCCTTCATTGTCCACAGTGTAGTGACATGTATTATGAGGCTAAAGTCTTAAATCGTACGCAAATTTTGCTTTAGGGTTGTAGCAATCTTTGTTGTTTTCAGTCACTGTTGTCCTTTCTTTTTAATTTCGGAATTTGGAGTATACCGACGAGATGGTTTCACTTGAGACGACAGAATATATGAGTACATTTACAAATAATTGCTTTATTCAACAGATGGAATGTTCTGTTTACAGTCTCAATCTCAGTTTACCTGTAGCGTTGTTGAAAGTCAATGAAGTGGGTATCGGAATAATTGTGTCCTCTTTATAATAATACAGGTAATAACCCGCCAATAACAAACTTTTGTACAAATACAGCTTAATTGAAAGGCAACTTCAGGTGTAAGACTTAAAAAACACAGAATAAAAAGTGCGTATATTCTTAAACATTTGGATATTTGTTAGCCAATCTGGTAATATATAGATGTTTTGTTAAGGAAAGTCTAACTTTGAACCTTAGTTCGTTATGTCGTTGTGTAGTGACTTAAAAACAACTTAATAAGTCCTCAGTTATAAAATGAATTCTAGTGTCTAGTGTATTTGAAGGAAACTCATACATGTAGTAATACAGCTGAATTTATTTTCTTTAATACTTCAGCTGCTTCCTTCTACGATATATCGTTTCTGCTGACCTCCACATCTACATTTTAACATTACTAAGGATTTTCCTCATCTCCTAGGCTTCAAAGTTAAGTCCTTAGCATCACTTTCGAGTCCTCGAATGGTGGAAAATCTATATAACGCTGTTTAACTCTTCATTTGATTCTACTATATATAACTCTGAAGTAGAATCAAATGTGTTATTTACCTATTTGTCTTTTGTACAATATCAAATCATCTCTGAACATTAACATATAGATTTATGTATCTAAACTTAGTTTAGACAATACACTTCGGACACGGGCAGTGACAATCGCCTAATCGTGTTACTAGAACTTACTTAAAGTAATGAAGACCAGTATCAACCACTAAACGACAGGCTCGCAGCATTTCAGCACTGTATCGTCCCATTCTGTCAAGGAAAATGTCTTTTCTTACACTCATATTACAACTGAACATGAGATTAATGTGATTGAAAATAGATTTGAAAACAACAACCTGCCAACGCGTAAACAAAAACATATTTCAAAGAGAACAAAATATCAAGATATGTAAATACCTCATAGAATAGTCATACCAAGTGTTCCGGAATGATAGGCGTTTTTAGTTTCTACTTGTAAGTCAAATAAAAGTAAAACATCATTCTCAAAATAGGATCCGACACAGCGGGAAGTACACATCCAGCGTAGCGAGGATCATATAAAATATCGATCATGTCTGATCTCGGTGAATCCACTCCACATACATTGAAATTTAACATTGAACACCTGATTTTATCACCATTATTTTTGTCATTTTCTCTGCGTTAATCTGCTTCGTTAACAGTTTTATATAGATATATGTAACTTACAACTCGTAGTCATCTTTATAGAGACCCATCTCCTCTCCAAGGTACTCTGCATACAACGCCCATCCCTATATCAGCAAAGGTAGATATAGGTGAAGGTAACAAACCAATTAACAAAAACCTATGACTACATAGGAAAAAAAGATATTAAGGATAAGGATTATCAAAACCAGAGGCGAAATTTACCAAATTATACTTTAAAAAGGACGAAAAATAATTTTGATAAACCAATTAATGAATAAGACATCTTTTCTGCACGTGTGGAAAGATAGGAATTTCAAGACGACAGAAGTTCAAAGGCAAAATAGAGCCAGACAAACATAAGATCGATTCATTCCCACTTGCAAAGACACCTTAAAAGTAACACTTCAAAAATGACATATTTAAGTTTAAAGATAAATGACCTTTCTCATTCATATGACAATCGTTAGGATCAGACGGGGATGTTGACTGTCTTACTTCAAATATCTGCTTTTGATATTAGTCAAACCTGTTTCTGATTATCGGTTTATCAGAGTTAGTTGTAAGATAAAATAGTCTTGTAAACCGATAATCAGATTTTGTTGATAATATGATTTTGTACCTGTTTTTGATAACAAAGTAAGTGTTCGCATTTAGCCCAATATAGGTCTACAGCCAGAAATTTATTACCTGCGCACGCGTGCATATTGATGCCAAATGAAAATGTTTTAATTCTGTTGTAAAGCTGGTTGAATTTTATTCAAAACTAACCTCTTTAAATCTACAGCAAGGTTGATTTTAACGACAAATAAATGATATATAGAATAGGAATTGGCAGTTGGCTTATCTTTATGACATGTTATAAGGGAGGCACCTCTAATAATTGCAATAATATTAAATTATTAATTATAAAAAGTTTTAGCTTCACACTTTTTTGTTTTGTTTTAACGAAACATTATTTTCTTGGCGAAATATTATGAAATAATAGCATTCATTTTAGGAAGTAGTCATTTACATCGTCATCATTGAGGAGTTAATTTCTAATTTACTTCAAACTGAGTGTAAAACATAAAAAATGATTTTGAATTATTGTCTTTTGAATCATCCTTTGAACGGACCATCGTCATATAACAGACTTTTCAAATACATTTTTGCCATTTGTTAGACAGGTAATCCGGATCTGACATCCAAGGTTTAATCTTTATCATAACAAGGTGATCTAATCTAAAAGGTAAATGTACGTAGACATCCAGCCAATACATGACATACATACACATCGATGAACAAATATGAATTGTAATATTTTACTTTTAACTTTTGACTAAACTGTAGTATACGCAGATTTTTTGTGTACACTGAACAATTGTGTACACTAAACATCTGTGTAAACTGAACATTTGTAGATACTGAACATTTGTAGACACTGAAAATTTGTGTACACTGGCAATTTGTGAGCATTATTGTACACTGAACATTTGTGTGCACTGAACAATTGTATACGCTTAACATTGTGCAATGAACATTTGTAAAAACCATAAATATAAAGATACAACTAAAGCATTCATTGTGCCTGATATTCCATTTACTCCTTTATCTGATCATAAGGAAATAATAAATCACGTCCCTGAGCTGTTGTAATTAAATAAACACGTACCATTACATCTGTACTTACCTCAACATAGGCAGTATAGAAGGGAAAATAGAATGGAACTTCATAAAAGGAAAGTTCAGGTTGTCGTCGGAATTCAGGCAAGTTAGCTTGTAAGCCATATATATGCTGTAAATGAAAATAAACTGATCACATGTTTTCTAAACTCATAGGAAATTAACTTTCTGTAGTTTGACTACAACAAAGATCACAGGAGAACCTCCCAGGCATACTAGGCAGTGTGAAAATAAACTTATCACAGGTAAATTTTCTAAACTCCTATAGACCGTTTGGCAACAAACTGGTCGAAAGAAAAATATGTATCTCAATTCATTTAGATAGTTTGACAGCACAAAATATTACAGAGACATCATCCTTGGCAGTGTTGAAACAAATTGATCACAGGAAAATTTCTTTACTTATATACATATACATGAAATTCAATATTACGGAGTGTTATATAAAACGCCTCTCTGTGCATATAGTGTCTACATGGCGCCAAAGAAAAAAAGGTAATCACATTTCAGCAAATCACTTCTCTCCTGCCCCTTTCCACAGTCAGTATAATCTCTAACGCGCGCGACCACAAGAATCCACAATATAAAAACTCGAATTAAAACACATTTTTTATGTTCATTAAAATTGTAACATTGTGATGTTTTTGTCAACTCCGAAAAATACACGTATTGTAAAAACATTTTATTCTATGTAACGATACAGTAACAAAGCTAAAAGTTATCTATCATTAGTGACTTACCTGTAGATGGTGCCCAGGGCTTGCCTCGTGTAAGGCCAGGCTCATGAACTCGTACACTGGACTAAAAAATGATTATTGGGAAAAGATGTTTTGAAAAATTAGATACCAGGAAGATTGTTTAATGGAAGTAGTTTTTTTTATGGAATATCAAACAGTTTTCTACTTAATCGTGATAATGTATATACCAATAATGTATTGTATGCACTGAAAACATGTCTTACTTTTCCCTTGGTCGAAATAGGTTGACATAAAAGACCCCGGGATATTCCTCCGTCGCAGAGCCGTATCCTCCTCCGGGACCATCGTACGACATTTTCCGAACCCTATAAGGGAATTAAAGAATTCCATACTGGTTGGCCACGTTTTTTGTTTTTGTTTTTGTTTTTTTTTTTCTTCTTTTTATTATTATTATTATTTTATTTTTCGCAGGACATGCAAAGCTCCGAAAAGTATTTCAAAACGATAAAGCTGATTCTGCATCATTTTATTGTCTGTGTTGTATTCTTTTCAAACGTTATATTTCTGTGTGAGCAATACAGATGTGTTTGGATTCCTTAAAAAAAAGCTGTTACACTTAACTGAAAACCTCTCACTATCAGACATGACTATTTGAACATGTCGAAACTGATAAAACAAATTGTGACAAGTTATGCTACTTCATCTAATGCCTCTACACTCTGGTGATAATGCCGTCCGAAAACATTGGGAGATGTCATAGTATTTACAGACATTTTTGTTACTTTTTGCTTAGAAACAAGTGTGGGTGATACTGTTATATAACCTAGAAGGTAATGGTTGATGTAGTGTATCTGTTTGTGATGACTAGTTACTAGGCATGCGCCATATATACCCAATGATATCGATACCCTTTTTCCACAAGGCATAAACTAAAAACTTCATAGTTACGATAAAATGTAAACTGAAATATTATGTATAATCAATGTAGATTTCCCTCAATGTTTTTTATTGGTTCTATCAGCTTGAATGAATTTCCAAGAAGATATTAAGTTACAGAAGGACAAAGTGTACTTACACGATAGGTATATCTGGAATATCCTTGAAAAATTGCGGAAGTACTGGATCAATTCTGTCGTGGATTATGTTCTCATATTCCTTAATGATTTGATCCTGTAAGATGGTGTAAGATGGTGTAAGATGGGAGACGTTTTGTAAGACAATGAAAATGTTTGCACTGTGATACATTTGGAACCAGTTTTACTTTCTTTCATTTGATATTTCAGTATATAGTTAACAATCACTTTCTTTTATCTATAATTTATGTATATGATTTCCCAACAGTAATCGGATAACAACATGAGTTAGACCTTTAGAATATCTCCACATGATGGGAACAGTGATTAATAATTATTTCAGTAGATGTGTTTTCTGACCACTTACATGCTATACAAGGTCACAAAAAGTCAACAATGAATTTTCAACAGGACCTCTGTATACATTGTATACATATACCTGTACCAGCTTTTTGTCAACTATTTATACTTTTGTGTAAATTTTCATTTAAAGAGTACATCCGATCATTATTCTATTCCTGATGTATGAAAAGTTCCATTGCTTACTTTGTTGACCATGTATAAAATATTTACCGCGTCATCATATACAAAACGGGAATCATTATTCAAAGATGCAAAGTACTCCTTAACGGTCCCTTCGAATTGTTGTTTCTTCATTACCTGCAGCAAAACAGTATAAAATAAAAAAAAAATAATTTGAAAGACAGAGTTGATACGCATGTTAGCATAAAGAAATCGTAAATACGATGCAATCATAATGATATAGACAAAGGCAACTGTGTAACATGGAACTTTATTACTATTAGTGACGTAAAACCATTTATGTATGGAATATAACATCGCCGGATAATTGATCCCGTTTGCTTTTGTGCGTAAGTTTGAAATAGAACCCTTCATCTCACATACGCCAATATTGAATGAGATTGGATGGTTCGTCAGCATTCACAGTGATATATCCATATTGATCAACAATGTTTCCAGATTGTGTTCATATACGTGTAGTATCTAACAGATCAAGTAAGGAGATATTTCAATAGAGAGGCCACAATATACGTTATATATAATAGTTTTAAACTACAGTTTATCAAAGTTAATCCTGATTAGTTTGTAGAAGTAAAGTAATCATCAGCAAACGCCATGATAAATCAGCTATAAATCTGTTTGGTAGGTGTCTGTTTTGATATTAAATGTTCAACATCTTCGTCATGTTTGGTGATAAGATCTTTCAATAGGTTATTTGCATGCCTATGGGAACTAACTGTGTCCCTCTGTTCGGCAAATTGTTTTTGTTGTCATACGTTGCTGAATTTATGTACGAGCTTCTCACAATAGGTCACAAAGACCTTGCAAAGTCTTTTTATTCCACTTTCAGACATGATTATTACGTCTTGTCTTTAAGTGAAAAGAAATTAATTGACCACGTTCATCGCAAATACCCCCAGGAGTGGAAATCAAGAACGCACCAGACATTGCTGCATCATGATTAGCTGTTTATGTCGATATTTTCCCACAACGAACCAAGCATGGGCAGCTTTCTACTAAGTTGTATGATAAGTGTGATGATTCCACTTTCCCTATTGTGAAGTTTCCTTTTCTGGATACCAACACTCCTGCATCACCAATCTATGGTGTTTACATTCTCACTTGTTCGATATGCAAACACATTTTCACATTCTCACTATTTGCGTGCAAGAAGTCGTCAACTGACGGACAAACTCGTATTAAAGGATTATGGTGAAGTTTTACGGTCGCCATGGTGACCTCATTGAGACATTTTCTATTTCTTCGTGCGATATAAAGCTTGATGTGGTTATTGCTCATTAGTTTTTGTTCCTTTTGCTATATGCCTTGTTCTCATTTGTGAACGCGATATTACCTACTTGTATTAACAGATATTTACACAGCTAGTATCGTCCATATAGCAGAAAATGCTTACTCTTCTGGAACACCTGGTCTTATTCTTGCACTTTTTTAGTAGTCCTTATGCAAATCTTTTGTTCGTGTTTTGCACTTGGCTTTTTTAAAAATCTTTGTTGGGGATTATAATTGTGTTGACATGTTGGTATTTTCCTGTTTTTATTTTTTTTATTTAATTTGAGTTTGGATTATAATTGTGTTGACATGTTGGTATTTTCCTGTTTTTATTTTTTTATTTAATTTGAGTTTGGATTATAATTGTGTTGACATGTTGGTATTTTCCTGTTTTTATTTTTTTATCTAATTTGAGTTTAGATTATAATTGTGTTGACATGTTGGTATTTTCCTGTTTTTATTTTTTTAATTAATTTGAGTTTGGATTATAATTGTGTTGACATGTTGGTATTTTCCTGTTTGTATTTTTTTATTTAATTTGAGTTTGGATTATAATTGTGTTGACATGTTGGTATTTTCCTGTTTTTATTTTTTTATTTAATTTGAGTTTGGATTATAATTGTGTTGACATGTTGGTATTTTCCTGTTTTTATTTTTTTATTTAATTTGAGTTTGGATTATAATTGTGTTGACATGTTGGCATTTTCCTGTTTTTATTTTTTTATTTAATTTGAGTTTGGATTATAATTGTGTTGACATGTTGGTATTTTCCTGTTTTTATTTTTTTATTTAATTTGAGTTTGGATTATAATTGTGTTGACATGTTGGTATTTTCCTGTTTTTACTTTTTTTTATTTAATTTGAGTTTGGATTATAATTGTGTTGACATGTTGGTATTTTCCTGTTTTTATTTTTTTATTTAATTTGAGTTTGGATTATAATTGTGTTGACATGTTGGTATTTTCCTGTTTTTATTTTTTTATTTAATTTGAGTTTGGATTATAATTGTGTTGACATGTTGGTATTTTCCTGTTTTTATTTTTTTATTTAATTTGAGTTTGGATTATAATTGTGTTGACATGTTGGTATTTTCCTGTTTTTATTTTTTCATTTAATTTGAGTTTGGATTATAATTGTGTTGACATGTTGGTATTTTCCTGTTTTTATTTTTTTATCTAATTTGAGTTTAGATTATAATTGTGTTGACATGTTAGTATTTTCCTGTTTTTATTTTTTTTATCTAATTTGAGTTTGGATTATAATTGTGTTGACATATTGGTATTTTCTTGTTTTTATTTTTTTATTTAATTTGAGTTTGAATTATAATTGTGTTGACATGTTGGTATTTTCCTGTTTGTATTTTTTTTATTTAATTTGAGTTTGGATTATAATTGTGTTGACATGTTGGTATTTTCCTGTTTTATGTTTGTGTTTTTTATTTGGATAGAGGATATTCTGAGCACGCTGAATTAAGGAAAATAACATAAAATATGAGCTTACTTTTAACATGTTTTGGTAAATTCTTTCAACCTCCTGCAAACCTATATTGTGGACCTCATCCGGCGACATGTCTGTCGACAGATGCCACTTAAGACATGCCCTGTAGTATTCTTCACCGTTCTCCAGAGAGTTAACGCCAGTATAAGGTCTGGTGTGTAACAGGTAGACCTACCAATTAATGCATAGACATATACTACATAATAGAACATAAATTGAACAATCATTATAACAAACGTTACATAAATATTCATCACAGGCTATAGTCACAGATAATATGATCTTAAAGATAATTATAACGGGTATATATTACATAAACAACATACAGCTACATTGTTTGAACATACTCGGGAAATTATCGTAATATAAATACGTTTCAATACTTCATTTAGGATATACTATATAGGATACAAAATTGCTGACAACTATATATTTTAATATCGTATAAAATAAATTTGATAATTGCATGTATAATATTGCAGTGCACATTTCACTACAGAAATAAAATAACATATTGTTTAAATTTAACAATTTTGTTACGATTACAGGAACGAACTACCCAGCGTTCAATAACTTTATTTCACTGAAAACTCACAACACAATGTAGACAACCTACATTTTGTATATAATCCTTTAAGTTTGCATATGACTGATTAACTGCCTGGACAGCAGAAGCCGCTCTCGCTTGTAAGTCCAACCTTGAATACAAATAGAACATAATGAATCGACTGCGTTGTTTATCTTTTTTATAAGCTTGTACAAAATAAACACATGTATTTGATTTTTTTAAATAAACCCATATTGAAAATCATTATATTTATTCATTGACTAACACATTTACCTATCTAGATATTAACGTTTCTTTCTACCAATTCTGGACCGCGGTGATTGTTGAGCGCAATAAGGACAAAACTACTGTATGATGTTATTAACTTTTTTTTTTTTAATTTTATTTCTTTTTTCATTTAAGTCTGTCTTATTCTATTTTCTTTTCAAAATTGTATCTTTTCCTTTATCCCTCGATTTTTTAAAATGAGAATAGCGGTTTTGACTATACACCAGGATTTATCGATGATTTCTTGACGTTTTAATGCATCGTGTGTAGACGAAGTTCCACGAAATATAAGCAATTATTACACTGATACTGTCGATTGTTGTATAATATTGTACAAAAGACACACATGTAAATAGCACATTTTACACAATAATTTGAGACAAATAGGTCAAATAGACGCATAAGATTGTAACATACAGGTGTGTCTTCCTTCTTTGACTGGACAGTGATGTTAAAAGACTGATTTTGAAGCTTAAAAGACGATTGTGGAAATCCAAGAAATCAATAATAATGTAAAAAATCTAGATGAAGGGGCAACTAATCACCTATTTCAATAAATCTGTTTTAATTAATTCTCTGATAATTTCAGAAGGAAGTCAATTACATGTGTTGAAGTGTTTTTTTTCTTACCACTTGTTACACCCACCTGCAGTGTTTACCACCTATTACCCCCACCTGCAGTGTTTACCACCTATTACACCGACCAGCAGTGTTTATCACCTGTTACACCCACCAGCAGTGTTTACCACCTGTTACACCCACCTGCAGTGTTTACCATCCCTTACACCCACCAGCAGTGTTTACCATCCCTTACAACCACCAGCAGTGTTTACCATCTGTTACACCCACCTGCAGTGTTTACCACCTGTTACACCCACCTACAGTGTTAACAATCCCTTACACCCACCTGCAGTGTTTACCACCTGTTACACCCACCTACAGTGTTAACAATCCCTTACACCCACCAGCAGTGTTTACCATCCCTTACAATCACCAACAGTGTTTACCATTTGTTACACCCACCTGCAGTGTTTACCACCTGTTACACCCACCAGCAGTGTTTACCATCCCTTACACCCACCAGCAGTGTTTACCATCCCTTACACCCACCAGCAGTGTTTACCACCTGTTACACCCACCAGCAGTGTTTACCATCCCTTACACCCACCAGCAGTGTTTTCCACCTGTTACACCCACCAGCAGTGTTTACCACCTGTTACACCCACCAGCAGTGTTTACCATCCCTTACACCCACCAGCAGTGTTTACCACCTGTTACACCCACCAACAGTGTTTACCATCCCTTACACCCACCAGCACTGTTTACCATCCCTTACATCCACCAATAGTTATCCCAAAGACTACACAAAAGATATCCAATTTGTTATCAATTGATTTTATTATTATTTTCAGCCAGTTTTGTTTTTTATTTCATTAAGTAAGGAATACCTAGCAAAACATACTTATCTGCATCCGAAATGTACTCGGTGGCATTGAGTTTTTCTTTGAAAGGCCAATAGAAGTATGAATCCTCTGTGACATTGACCAGAAGCTGCGCGATTTGATCCGGAACTTGCTCCTACAATTGAAAGCAGGTAGCTATATATAGGTGTCAATGTTTATTTGATTTTTTCCTGACTACAAGTATATTAAGCTGGATTGTCAATAGTTCCTCTACTGCTAGACTTGTTTACAACCAAACAAATATTCTGTGATTACAACGTGTACCCTAACAATCTAACAATGGGCTGTGCTCTATATAAAGCAATCGCTTTCTTTTTATTGCACGGATACATGTGTACAGGTCGACTATTTACAGGTCAATCTGCATAGTATATTAAGACGTTTAAATATATTCATATATGCAGAAATAAATTGTAAACAGTGCTTGTAGTTTTTAGGTTTTTATTTATTTATTTATTTTATTTTGTTATTTATTTATAGATTGATTCAAATAATCAGATTAACACGGTCATTGTAGTGGCACCTGTGACAATAAACAGAATTTATGTGATCGATATGACTCAATGAAACACATCAATGTTTGTATTCTGTATGCATTACCGCTTGCTATTAACACATCTTCTCCTGTCAGGTTTAAGGCTTTGTTTTGGTTAGTTACAACTTAAGACCGATGTATAACATTAATGACATTTTTAATGACGAATACTACTTAAGATTGACTTAAAGGTTTAACAGATCATTTTGACATATTTTGTAAATAACCAAACGATGACACACAAAATAAACGCTTTCAAAGTGCAAATATAATGTAAACAGAATATCAAAATCCATTCTAAATGTACCAGTTACCAGAAATATATATATAAAAAAATGAAAACTCAGAAATCATAGGTGTTGGGGAAAGCAAAGATGACCAAGCAATATATGCATATACATGTATTGTTTCGGTGTCCTTAACGCTATGGTGTACCCCTTTAGTAACAGTGGTAATCTAGAAACATCTAGGTTACGTCAGCAATGAGTCTCTTCAGTAGTGCATATGTTAACTTTCGGGATCTCGAAACTGCTGTATACGTGCGAGTTGACACAAACACTGTGCACTTACAAATGAAAAATCTTAACCTACCTTTGAATTTTCCTCATAAAGTAATTTTTTGCAATATATGCTATTTATTTTCAGATTTTTTAAATGGAAATTCTGCTAATCTGGTACCTACGTCTAAACCGATCTCGGTGACACTTATATATACAATTACATGCAAAACAAAACACGATATAAGTACATCTATATCTATAGAATCACATTATGTCTTCCTTTCAAGTGCATTACCCAACCTTGTGTATCTACTGCCGAACAGCCAATCCCTATTTTAATTTCAATTGCAAAAAATAAGAAAGTGATAGACATCTGTAAGGGTATGACATGAAAACATCGAGAAAAAGTAATTGATCTATTTACAAGAAAAGTTAGTAGTCAATTGAATTGATTATGTTTAAATACTTAACACTGACGAAAACATACTATAGAATATCGGTGAAGAGTTCTGTTGAGTTCAATCGCTTTATCAAAGGATTCCATAACATCCTGGATCTGTAACACAACAAAGGTATAATGCAACAGACATTAAACAACGAGTGGTTGGTGTATGTGATATTTCTCTCACTCGAACTAGTTATTTTTCAAACACTACTAATGACATGAAATTAAGCGAGTTTTTCCAACAAGTGATTAAAGTTACACTTTATATTTACGTAACATTCATTGACGGAAATAAACTTTAAAAAAGAAATGTAAATGATATCATGGACACATACAGTTCTGTAATATGTACGTTATCCTTATACCGATGTACCTGCAATTGATCTCGTCAAAAATATACACAAAAAACAAGCCATGAAATCAAGACGAGCTAATGACATGAAAGTATACGTGGGTGAACATGAAGTCGTTTAAACTAATTAATCCCTTTCCTATGTGACATGTAGACTAGAAGTTCTTATATTACAATCAGTAGAAGATTAGTGTGACGATTCGATGGCAACACGGTCACTTTCATTAAACAAATACATTTATCTAATGAAGGTTACCGTGTAGTCATCGAAACATTACATTCTAATCTTCTACTGGTTGCGTTATAAGAACTTCTATTCCACAGACAATACCAATCCGAAGAAAATGTTCCGAAATAACAAGGAATAATTACAAGTGGTGGGCCTGATTTATTTTACATTTTTATCACTGTAAGTGTATAGCATATACTTGGTTGATACTTTAGCAAAAACCTATGTAAACGTTGAGATGAAACATACATGAACTTTAAATTCTTGCATTCAGGCATTCTATTTCCGACCAGAACTCAATTCTGAATAGATATAAACAGTATTTTCATTTTCTATACTATACTATTTTAGTAATAAGCATGTGAACCATTCATTAACCTTAAACTTAGAAGTACATAACACAACGTTATTTAACCTGCCAGTTCAGGTCAACTTCGTTCCTGTCTTTAGTACCTCCCTTATGGTGGTCGCCGATGTGGATAAAGCAGAATATGTTGCAACATTATTTTTGCATGCCAGTTCAAGTCGTTTCTACTCCGTTCATGTCTTTAGTAAGTACTGCCCCTCCATCCCCCAACCCCCTCCCCCAACCCCCTCCCCTTGTGATTGCCGTATACAGGGGTGCCACGATAAACAGGTATACCGCTAAATCGCGATTTCCACCTGTCACAATGATATCACAATACAAAAATTAGAATGCCGCTTTATCTCAGTATTCGTGTTGTTTCTGCTAGTTTGTTAAGTTATTCGCCTTTCCAAAAATTTTAAGTGTTTCCACTTGCCCTGTGCGTGAAACGAAAGTCGAAACGAAATCCACACGTTGCGGGAATCCAAGTGTCTTGTTTACTGTATTCCGTGATATAAATAGCCCGTATATAGCATAATATTGTATTTTAAGGGGAACCCAATGCGTTATATTGCTATTTAAGATTGCTGTCCTGAAATTTAATACTCATTTAGTGGAAGAAACGATTTTGACAATATATATTATATGAATTTTAGTGTATTTCTAGGCAGTGACAGGTTAACGATTTTTTAAATCAAAGTTTTAAAAGTGTGTTGAGGCCATAAAAAACTCGTGTAGCTTACTTTCTGTCATGCTTAAAGTCTTTTAATATAAATTATGCCTTGAAACTAACAAATATAATTAAAATCCTGTTTCTATTGCTACAAGACTCTTCTGACTCACTAATTATAAATAACTGGTACTTACCAGGCCAGGCATTCCCTTTAACCTTGCAATGTAATTCTCAAAGTCTCCTCTTGTACTAGTGGTTGCCATGGATACAGGATAATACAGATGTATTCCTCCAAGAAAATTCATTGGATTGATAGAACTGTATCTTTATAAAGAAAACAATAAATTGTCAATTTTATTTGATTATCATGCCCCTCTTTTCCATAAATGTGATGGTAAATTAAGAGAATAGTTATGAACCAGATTGGTATTCTATATTCACACGGATCCCACATTTTAGCACACTTTCACTGTATCGCTAACCTCAGTGAATAATATCCTTATTTGACGACTAGATATTTTTTCGTGTTATTTTTGCTATGGTTTTGTCACGATTTAGTTAATACTTGCTATTCAACTAATACACTGACGACATTATGGTAACGTATCAGCTCTTGTATGGTGAATGACGTTTGTTGTATTCACTAAGGGTAGTAAAAGTAGAAAAAAGTTTTGTTTGCTAAATGTGATATTGTCTATAAAAAAACATCTGCAGTGTACAGAGCTGATACTGATGTCGAACGGAGTAGTGATCAATATACAGGGTTTTAACTAAAGGCTGATAAGACAGCTAGATATCAAGGAAAGCTCTTAGTACTATCCTAACATCAACACACGCCGAGGACACTAAATGTACCAATTGGATTGGATTTGATAAATACTTTTGTTCTTAAACGCGAAGATGTCTACTATGATACCCTGATCTCTTCAGACCATGAAAAAAAAAATAAACACGGAGCACAGAATACTGAACATTAAATTATAGGAATATAGAAGAAAATATCACTGGAAAAGGTAGACCGAACGCATGTCTCGCAATAACATGTTATTGCCTTTCATATTATATTACAGTTTTAATTACCTGCCAATTAATAACAAAACCGTGACAACATAGAATCAGCATATGAAATTGTGAAACATTAACAATGATATGGGGTCACTTACGAGTCGTTTTATATAAAACAATATCGGCGAATACATGTGATCTAAAGAAGGCAGATAAAAATGTAGATACCTTTTGGGGAATGTGTATTCAGATAAAACAACATCATAAAGAAATAAATTTAATGATGATTTTGTACTTTTACATCTTACCGTCATTCTTTATATTTGGGATGAATTTATCTCCCACCATTTATTTGATTAACAAACCGTACTTGGGTAAATGTAACAAACACGAGTTACCTACCTTCAAATGGTAAACAGATCGACAAATCTTAAAATAAACTTGTCGAAACGACGAGACATACACTTGACGGGATCAATTTTATTCATTCATTGGTAAGATGAACTTAAACATTTTGTCAAAATACCATTTCAGTACTATCGAATCTTCCTCCAAGATAAAACAAAAAATCAATACTAATCCCAGCACTCTACCTAGACTTTCGGTTAATTCAGCCATGTATAACTATGTATAATCTAATAAATAATAAAACCCGAGAGCTGCCAAATGGCGACCACGGTGACGGGGAAAAAGGGGGAAAAATAAGGGAAAAATAAAAATACAACGAAGTTTCGCCAAATTCTGACACCAAACGTAGAGAATGGTGGTGTTCGGTTTACATACTGGACCCTCTACGGTTGTTCCCAGCTCCTAACTAATAAGTGATACAGCGCTTTTGGAGACAAGTCAGTTTGCTTTAAGAGTCAAGCGTCAAGAGAGCGCTATCGTGTCACGTCAGTTCAAACCAAGGGTGATAACTCTCACAGTTTCCACTACAAGCACCTTGTATGCAAATGAGTCTGCACCCTGCCACGCGACTTCAAGAAGCAAATATAGGTAATACGCCAAAGGGTGGATGGTGGGCGTTTCCTAGCTTAGAATGGACTTTGCCTACATCAAAGTGGCACCTTGTCGAAATTGGTACATTCTCGCTTCCAATCGGCAAGGAACCTTATCACCATTAGAGTGAGGTTTGGACAGTGCGCGGGATCATGTCTAAATAGCGATTAAAGTATTACTATTCACACTTGATATCCATTCAGACAATCAAAGTGGAAGATAGTGTGTAACCAGTGCGCCACCAGACTATACAATATGGCGCGTAGGTGCTACGCACATGTATATACCCTGTTTTTCTCATCAATGGTCCATACCACGCGGCAAGTAAGCACTACCCTGTTTGTGTCTTATTGGTCCATACCACGCGGCACGTAAGCACTACGTACATTGTATATACCCTGTTTGTATCTCATTGGTCCATACAACGAATGCAGTTATTATATTACATTTCTATTAATGTTTTGGTTTCGTAATCGGGAGAAGGCAAGGCACTGTTATGATACTTGTGTGTTTTTGTTATGCCTAATATCAGGGTAAGCATAACACCGTGTAATGCAGGTGTCCTCCCACCAAACACTTTATCAATTAAATCTGATACTTAATGTTGATATCGAACACATTATATTGTTTAAATACCATAGATAGGAGAATCATCTCAAGATAAAGGAGATCCATCTAACACAGTGTCAATACCACTTTAGCCGAAGGCAGTTGGGGGAAATTCCTCTAATCTTATCATACGTAAGTCAGTTTCCTTAGTTATGCTATGTCTTTGTCTTTTACTAGTAGACTCTCTTAATAAGAATACAGGATTGATGGTTTGGGATGATAAATTAGTTGTATGTACTTGAGTAGGTGATCAAAAATATTATAGGACAGAGAGACTGCGGTTGTTGTCCAGGGGAACTTATAGCGTTAGTTAGAATCTGAACATCTAGATGATTTACTGGCTGGTGATAAACGCAGTGATTACATTCCTTTAAAAAAATGTCAACAAAACGCATAGATATTAATACTGATTGTTAAGTATTATACGAGGGGCGTGAGTACCACGACAGAGGTCCGACCATAGCTACTGTATATAAAACAATAAATGCCAGATGTTTATGACATGTTATTGAGATGATATTTATTTACTTAGATTGACCGTGTGAAATGACATTAGCATAATGTTTCATGTGTAGTAAATGTTGACCTGTTAAATTCAATGGATGTCACATATGATTTTATTGCATAGCGACGTGGTTCATGAGCAGTATACCTGTATGCATATGCATTGAATCACGTAGCTCTCTTTCTTGCCAAAACTCGGGACTTTACGAATGTGAATAAATACCTTTTGAGTTCAAACCTACGATATTTTCGTTTTTTTTTTTTTCACATAAAATAATGAAACACAATTTCTTTACACAGGCCAAAATAAGGCAACACAGAAAACTGGGACACACAGAAAAAATAAGGCAACACAGAAAACTGGGACACACAGAAAAAATAAGGCAACACAGATACGTAACCAACTGGGACACACAGTAAAATAAGGCAACACAGAAAACTGGGACACACAGTAAAATAAGGTAACACAGAAAACTGGGATACATAGGCAAAAATAAGGAAACACAGAAAACTGGGACACACAGACAAAAATAAGGCAACACAAAAAACTGGGACACACAGTAAAATAAGGCAAACAACACACATATATAATAAGGATAACACAGAAAACTGGACACACAGAAAAAAGTAAACACAAAATAAGACACACAGAAAACTGGGACACACAGTAAAATAAGGTAACACAGAAAACTGGGACACACAGACAAAAATAAGGCAACACAGAAAACTGGGATACACAGACAAAAATAAGGCAACACAGAAAACTAGGATACACAGTAAAATAAGGCAACACGGAAAACTGGGATACCCAGACAAAAATAAGGCAACACAGAAAACTGGGACACACAGTAAAATAAGAACACACAGAAAACTGGGACACACAAAAACTGGGACACACAAAAATAAGGCAACACAGAAAACTGGGATACACTGGGAAAACTGGGATACACAGACAAAAATAAGGCAACACAGAAAACTGGGACACACAGTAAAATAAGGTAACACAGAAAACTGGGATACACAGACAAAAATAAGGAAACACAGAAAACTGGGACACACAGACAAAAATAAGGCAACACAGAAAACTGGGACACACAGACAAAAATAAGGCAACACAGAAAACTGGGATACACAGTAAAATAAGGCAACACGGAAAACTGGGATACCCAGACAAAAATAAGGCAACACAGAAAACTGGGATACACAGACAAAAATAAGGCAACACGGAAAACTGGGATACACAGACAAAAATAAGGCAACACAGAAAACTGGGACACACAGTAAAATAAGGCAACACAGAAAACTGGGATACACAGACAAAAATAAGGCAACACGGAAAACTGGGATACACAGACAAAAATAAGGCAACACAGAAAACTGGGACACACAGTAAAATAAGGTAACACAGAAAACTGGGACACACAGTAAAATAAGGTAACACAGAAAACTGGGACACACAGACAAAAATAAGGTAACACAGAAAACTGGGATACACAGTAAAATAAGGAAACACAGAAAACTGGGATACACAGACAAAAATAAGGCAACACGGAAAACTGGGATACACAGTAAAATAAGGCAACACAGAAAACTGGGACACACAGTAAAATAAGGCAACACAGAAAACTGGGACACACAGACAAAAATAAGGAAACACAGAAAACTGGGACACACAGTAAAATAAGGCAACACAGAAAACTGGGACACACAATAAAATAAGAACACAGAGAAAACTGGGACACACAGTAAAATAAGGTAACACAGAAAACTGGGACACACAGTAAAATAAGGTAACACAGAAAACTGGGACACACAGTAAAATAAGGCAACACAGAAAACTGGGACACACAGTAAAATAAGGCAACACAGAAAACTGGGACACACAGTAAAATAAGGTAACACAGAAAACTGGGATACACAGACAAAAATAAGGAAACACAGAAAACTGGGACACACAGTAAAATAAGAACACACAGAAAACTGGGACACACAGTAAAATAAGGAAACACAGAAAACTGGGACACACAGTAAAATAAGGAAACACAGAAAACTGGGACACACAGTAAAATAAGGAAACACAGAAAACTGGGACACACAGCAACACAGAAAAGTGGGACACACAGTAAAATAAGAAAACACAGAAAACTGGGGCAAACAGTAAAATAAGGAAACACAGAAAACTGGGACACAGTAAAATAAGGAAACACAGAAAACTGGGACACAGTAAAATAAGGAAACACAAAAAACTGGGACACACAGTAAAATAAGGAAACACAGAAAACGGAAAACTGGGATACACAGACAAAAATAAGGCAACACAGAAAACTGGGACACACAGACAAAAATAAGGAAACACAGAAAACTGGGACACACAGTAAAATAAGAAAACACGGAAAACTGGGACACACAGCAAAATAAGGCAACACAGAAAACTGGGACACACAGTAAAATAAGGAAACACAGAAAACTGGGACACA